GTTTATTAAAATTTCTACCAGTTTGAGCGATGTAAGTTTTTGGATAGTCGCCACATTTAAGTTTGTACACATTACTGTGTACCTAAGTGTTTTTTATTTTGGCTCCTGTTGTTTTTAATATATTTGCTTAAGTTGTTATTTGTTCTGAAAGCTGGTGTTATTCCTTTCTTTTTTATGTGTTTGGCTTTTTTGTTGATATTTTGCCTGTATATGTAATCGACCAGAAGGTACTGGGTAATTTCACGGCTTTTTTGTGTAGTTTTTGATTCAACATTTTATTAATTGTTTCTTCGTTGTATCCATTGTTTACTATTATTTGCTTAATGATATTTAATTATCATTAGCTTATTATTTTGTACCTAACTTGTAAGTAAATCGAATAGAGCCATCTAAAAAACGCATTACCAAACCAGACATGCTTTAGTTTTGATAGTTAATAAATTAATTTGTCGTCAGAGACGAAAATGCCATTGAACCTATAAAAATCAAACGAACAAACTTAATTTTTCTGAGAATGTTAATTTTGCGACAAAAAGATTTATGTCGTGACACAAGTTTCAGACAAAATGTCAAAATGAATAAAGCGACTCTTGTTAATAGAGAAGACAGGTAAACATAAGGACCCTTTTAAAGTAATTTATAGATACATTTTGGAGAACCTATCACTGATTAGCGAGCCTTCATTAAAATATCCAATAAGTCAATATTCTAAGCCGATGAAGACAAGAACAATCAAGCAAAAATAAAACAACAATTATAAACATATCTTTAACATAATTAAAAATCTTAAATTTATAAATTGTCAATCAAACTTAAAACCGCATAAAAAAACTGATTGAGAACAAAAAACATATTGGTTAGGTCAAAAACCACTTCCTTGGAACACACGATATCAAAGTCCATTACCGCTAAATATTGTGTATTCCTATTAGCTATACACTGTTGCCAAACACACATGTTTCAAAGAGCTTCTGTATATATTTTAAATTAAAGATTCATAAAATTTTATTTATTTAATTTACGATGAGGAGAATATTTTGTATCATATAGGTAACAATGTCGTTGCATAAGCACGCAGATTCTGGAGAGCATTTAAAAAACCAATTAATGTTTAGAAATTTCGAACAAAATCAAAATACGAATGCCGATGCCTTAAAAGAAAACGCTATATTACATAAAATAAATTTTAATGAAAATGTTCGACTAAACAGGATTTGTTTGCGGGTAGTTATTGAAGCAGTGTTATACTTCAGCCACAGTATATTTCTAATACTGTGACGCAACAAACAAGAGTTGTCATTTAGGAGACATGATGAGAAAAGTGACTCGAGTAACAGGGGTAATTTTAAGGAGTTATTAAATCTGTTAATTGTTCAAAGCCCTTTGGAAACTAAAAATCACTACGAAAAAATCAAAAATGTTTTTAGTGGAGAATCAAAAACAATCCAAAATTAATTAATTGGGTGCATTTCTGGTTACATAAATGATAATATAATAACTGAAATTAAAAACAGTCCATTTTTTTTTCCTCCAAATTGATGATACTACTGACATAACGCAGATGTCGCAGTCTCCAATAATATTATGACGCGTAAATTCTCAAGGACCATTATGAAAGTTTTATGGGATTTTACGATGTAAGTGCCGTTAGAACAGCTGAGCATTTGTTCACTATGGCTGCGACAGTTTTAGATCATTTGGAATACCGATATAAACTTGTAGGACAGTGTTACGATGGAGCCAGTGTAATGTCAGGGCACTTAAATGGACTTCAACAAAAAATTAAATCACATGCCCCATAAGCAATTTTTGTGCATTGCAACACTACTTAATTGTTGCAGAAGCATAATTTGTTTTATTTAATTCTGACAATTCCATCGACAAGCGTATCCTTAGAAAGAAGTATTTCATGCTTAAAAATGTTAAAAACTTTTACAAGGAACACTATTTCACAAGATAGTCTATCCAGTTTGACTGTTATCGCACTTAATTAAGAACTGTTAAATGAACTTATGCAGAAGCATCCTTTCTACGAGGATATTATTGATAGATTTGCCTCGATAAAAGACCCAAGGATCGACTTGATTTATAAAAACTAGGTAAGTCAGTTCTATTAGTCTATCTAATACTGCTTTTTGTGTTTAAGTATCTCTTCACCATCGGTTCTAGCTTAGACCATAAAAACTGATAGACGCGCCGTAATGCTATTCTCTCGTCTCGAGGAGTGAAGCCAACATAAAACGATTCACACAGCTGTGGGTGACGTCAGTTTGAGGCAGAAATGGTAGAGATTACTAGTGTTTATACGCGTTGTAAACGTTTTAAAGTGTTTAAATTTAAAAATTTTTTAATACATTAATATTATAATTATGGTGGCATCTTGCAGTGCATTTAATTGTACGCAGCGACAAAAAAAGGGACAGATATATCATTTCACGGGTAAGTAAATTCACAAATTAAACTTGAAAAACATACCAGAAATTTAGCACCTATTATTTTACTTTTTGTTCCCTTATATATAATTTTCATTTTATAATTAGATTGAAAAGAAGCAGTGAATGTATTAAAACAAAAAGTAGTTGAACTTAGAAATAAAGGAAAATCATGTATTTGTGCTTTGATGGTCGATGAAATGTCTATACACTAGAAAATAGAATGGGATGGTGAAAAGTTTTTAGGGTAAGTGTAGCTTAATATTTATTAGCAATTAAAAAAAGTATCATAACATTATATTTTCTATTTAAATAATTGAAATCATTAATTTTAGGTATGTTGACATAGGAAGTAAACCTCAAAGCGATTCTTCCGAAATTAAAGCAAAAGAAGCAACTGTATTCTTAATTAATAATTTAAATGATTCATGGAAGCTGCCGATAGGATACTTTTTAATCGCTGGGTTATCAGGTGTTCAAAAAAGTAATCTAATAAAAATGTGCTTAAAAATAATGCACGAAGCTGATGTCACAATTACCAGTCTAACATTTGATGGTGCAGCATCAAATATTAGCATGGTTAAACAACTTGGAGTTGATTTATCGATTAATTCCAATAAAGTATATTTTCTACATCCAGCAACAAATCAACCAATATATGTAATGTTTGACCCTCCACATATGTTGAAACTTATTCGCAATACTTTAGGTTATTACCAAATTTTTTTTGACGGGAATAATAAAGCGATTAAATGGGAATATTTGCAAAAATTAGTAGACATTTAAGAGAAGCAAGGCCTTCATATTGCAACTAGGATAACGCGAAGGCATTTAAATTGGTATAAGGAAAAAATGAAAGTGAAATTAGCTGCCCAAAGGTTCGGCCAAAAAGTTGCTAAGGCAATACATTATTTGAGAAATAAAAGCTCAAAAGAATTTGTACATAGCGAAGCTACTCAAAATTTCATTGAACATATCAATGATATTTTTGATATTTTAAATAGACGAAATTTATTGGCAAAACAACTAAAATCTAGTTTACAGCATCATAATAAACAAGCGATTTTTCAAAAAAACTGAAGAATCTATAAAATATCTTAGTTCACTTAAGTGTTTTTTTCAACCTTCTAAAGACGTCATTCATATTTGCAAAATTGCTGAAAGCGAAATTAAATTTATGTACAATTCAAAAAAATTTAACGATTCCAAAATAATGACAAAATTGATCTTAAATGTCGTGAGTAACGCGCATGGTTCTGTGTTTAACGTATACAAAGAACATATGTTTGATCATGAATTTGAAACAAACCATTTGTTTAATCTAATAAAGATAATTTGTTTCCATTATTGCAACATTAGATTGTACCACGAAGGTGAAAAACTAAATAATGTAATAAGAGTTAGAAGTAAGTTAACAAAAGCTATTTTGTTTTGCGGTCAATAAATTAATAGATTTCCTACATATTTTTTTACCTATCCTGAAACTTCCACCCAAAAAAAAATTATTCTCCTTTAAATTTATTTCTGAATATCAAACAAGAAGTGATATACCAACGATATATATAATAATATATGTAGGTATGTACTTTCAAATAAAACATTTATTTTTACAATTTAAGGCAAAAATATTTATTAATTACTTTGCTAAATAATTTATCTTCCATATTTTTTACAAAACATTGAAGTTATATTAAAATTAATCTAAAATTGGGGAATTATACTAGTGCTTTGCTAAGAATCCAAGCGGGCTCTTGTCTCATTGTGACGTCACTTTCGCGGAAGGTCTTTGCTTCAACGGTTCGGTACAAGGCGTGTCTATCAGGTTTTTTTTCATCATCATTCCGCAACCTCTTGCATCTAGTTTTGGATATAGGTTTCCTCCATATTCTTCCATTGTTCTCTATCTTGTGCCATCTGTATCGAATTTCTCACTGTTTTTCTCAAGTCATCCATCCATCTTTTTGGTGGTCTACCTCGGTGTATTTTATCTTATCTAGGTCTCCATTCTATGAGTCTGTTGGTCCACCTATTATCATTTAAGCGTGCTCCATGTCCAGCCCAAGTGCGGTGTTTTAATCGCCAAAAAACCCTCAATGAAATGTTAAGGTTCAGAACTAAAATACCCCAGGCAAGCAGAACGAATCGTATCTAGTCCCTAAAAAACTGTTTTCAAGTTATTAGGGCCCTAAACTCTAGACATTTTTTTAAACGAATTTTAAAGAGATTTCCTTATCTTCACCACTTTTTTAGGCAACGAGCCGCCGCTGAGAACAACATATGTATCCCAAAATAATTTTAAAATTATAAAAAATAGAGGTTCTAAAATTTATTTGTACCATTTTAGTACATAAATAATTTATTAAATTATTTTCATATTATCCTTAATTCTATTATTTTGACATTATTGAAAAATGTGATCATAAACTCTGGGAATTCGCAATGTAGTAAATATGCTAAGATATACTAAAAGTAAACATGACAACGCTGCACATTGTATAGCCGTTAAGTTTAGAACATGGTTGTATCGATCAATAAATTTGACAAAAGATAAAAATAAAAAGTACTCACCGAATAAATAAATCTAATTTTGTTAAAATTAAGTACGATTTTTGATCTAGATAAACATCACTTGTATTATTGTTCACTTACTGCACAACGCGTAAGAGCACGTTTCAATGTAATTTCTGATTCCACTACGCAACTCGGAATGAATGATTGCTTAAAATATTGCCATGTGCTCTGTGCGAAAACTTCACGATTACGATTGTATACAAGGATGTTCAAGATAATTAGATAGTAAATGGTGCAAATACTATTAATATTAATACTATTAATTTGTTGCGTTTTTAAAGCAGTTCTGCATTTTAGACTCTTAATTTTTAATTTTCACATAGAAAATTTTTTTACAAAAATTATACCGTTATGCGAGCGTTATGCATTGGTGTCTTTGTAAACACAAACAGGTGATATATATTACGGACGGGTTTTGGTATAAATGAACGTACTTATATTTTATGACGTACCCAACGCTTAATGATGGTATACGTGATAAAAAACAATGGATCGTAATTCTAATGTATACATTTCTTTACAATCGAAATAGAATGCCCTTTATTAATGAAACCATATCATTTACATCTACCGTATATTATAGCATTATTACATAACATTAACTTGATCGAAGAAGTATTTTTGTATTGTGGATCTGTCTACGATTATCTACATATTATATTATTTATCTATGATTATCCATGTGTTGTCAATACGACTTTTGGATTTAAGATTTTGGCAAATAGATACCACCAAGTAATCGTATCAGTAAAGAAGAATTGATGGCGTAGTAAATAACGCATTGAAGATAATTATTTTTATGTATGCTTTCCGTTAAGTATCTCCATTAGCAATTCTTTCGCATTAATCGGCATGCGAATAATAAACGTTATTCGTAGGTACCTAATATACAAAAGAAGATATTGTATACGTGAATCTAAGAACTTAAATGTTATAGTTAGTAATGCTTTAAGCCAGGGCTTCCCAAACTGTGCGTCGCGACGCCCTGGGGCGTCGCTGCATTGTCCCAGGGGCGTCGCGTGTCAGCACAGACTTTTAATACAGAAAATATATTTGTTTGATTTTAAATACTTATAAAATATATGTATTAATAAATAAATCAAATAAAAAATATATCATTAGGTCAAAAAACTCTTGAATTATCCGAAATTTTTCAAAAAATTGTTTAATCCGACCGACGGTCCACGAATCTGAAAATCGGCTAATTATTTGAACATTGTCCCCTCCCCCATGTTCCCTATTGTCACGCGTGTTCTGTCATTTGATCAAGATTTTGTTTTGTTTTATTATGCACGCGGAGTTTTTGTCAACAATCGATACCTATATTCAAAAGAATAGAAAACGAAGTGAAGAATCAGGTGAGAGCAGTAGTATTATTGTAATTACTATTACAATTATTATTCTCTAATTATTAGATGTCGCTATCGCGTCCGTATTGAAGCCATTTTAGTGTTGCTTCTTAAAAGACAGAAAATATTGATTTTTCACGTTGAGAACACCTATGATGAGACCTATTAGGTCGAAATACGTATCAATACGGAAGACCAAGAGGCAATAAAAATAAAAACAGAAAAAATAGAACAGGTAAATGAGTATATCTATCTAGGACAAGCAATCAGAGCTAATAGAGAAAATCAAACAGCCGAAATATCGAGACGAGTAAGAATGGGATGGGCAGCGTTCGGCAAACTTTCTTACATTCTAAAAAATCAAACAATCCCTCTATACTTACGAAGCAAGGTATATAACTCCTGTATCATACCGGTGCTCACCTACGGAGCACAGACATGGACATTTACACAGGCCAATTTGGATAGGATAAGGAAGGCACAAAGAGCGATGGAGAGACAAATGTTGGGTGTATCACTTAGAGATAGAAAACGTAACCAGTGAATCAGAACCAGAACAAAGACAGTAGACGCGATAGAACAAGCAGCAAAACTGAAATGGAAATGGGCTGGACACAATGAACGTCTCCAAGACGGACGATGGAACAATGCCATCGGAAAGTGGCGTCCATACAATGCAAAGAGATCAAGAGGCAGACCACAGATGAGGTGGAAAGAACGTGGCAGAGAACAGCTCAAGATAGGGAAAGATGGAGAGAACTGGGGGAGACCTATATCCAACAATGGAAGGATAGAGAATAGGTTAAAAAAAAAAAAAAAAACGTATCAACAGATACATAGGCGCTGTTTGCGTGAAATCAAATATTTGCTGTCTTTTTCATTTTAAATAAATATCCCTTTTCATTTTTATGCCTATGTTTCGATTTCGTTCTTAATTTTTAATAAAACATAAATATTCAAATAGTGTATTTTTTATAACTATAACCTGTTACTAGGCTAGTACTAAAATTGGTAAGTATTATTGGGGGTTGGTTGAGGGGGCGTCGCAAAAAAATAGCAAAGTCACAAGGGCGTCACAGTACGAATAAGTTTGGGAAGCCCTGCTTTAAGCCAATAATATGAGTTGCTTGTGCTGGACATCGAAGTAAAAAAGAGAAACGAAACCAATATATCAGAGAGAACAAAAAAAAATCAGATGGTGGATGTGAAAAAATAAAAAAGAAGCTCTATTTAGAGCAAAAATAGAAAAAATTACCTGGAACATGAAAGAAAGTCCTCATACAATTTGGACAGATAGGTATAGCCAGTATTATTAGAGATACTATTATTACAAATACTTGAAAAACCTTCAGGAAAGAATTCACAATTTATCGTGTTCCTAAGCATTATTCTCACTAGCCTTATAAGCTTTTCTTTTATTTCTAATACCGTGAATTATTCGTTGTATCTTCTCTGGATTTCTCTTCTTCTTGCCATCTAGTTTTCGATCGCATTTTAGTTAGTTTCTTTAGCATTCTCCTCCGAACCAGTCTTGGCGTCTTTTTATATGCTCGCTTCCTACACTTTTCCGTCGTCTGATTTTTATTTTTCCATCGGGAGAAGTCCATGGTACCTTATGAATGTCTTCTCTATTATTTTATATGTATATTATATATAGTTGAGAGATGATGAGAGATGTTTGTTCAAAAAAAAAATATTTTTGCAAGAAAAGTATAAATATGGCATTTTAATTGCCTATTTGTGTAATTTATAAAATTTTTATTATTATTTTCAAAAACCATATACAGGGGGAAATTTTTACTATGAACAAACCGAACTCATTTTGTAAAGCAGGACCTGATTTTTTTCTAGTTCGAATAAATCAATTGATTAGGTGGTAGTAAAGTAAAGTTTGGCCAAAATATGAGACACATTGCACTTATCGTTCAAAAGTCTGTATATTATTAAACAATTAGACACTTTTTAATGGTCATTTCTTATTCTTCATATGGGCCTCCATATGAGGTAGAATTATGAACAGTTCTTCATGACTCACCCTGTACACAACACATCACCAAACATCGGCGATATGCCTAGCCAAGATATTGTCATAATAACATTTCAATTTTAATAATGTTATCACACACAAGTGTTTTATTATTTCATTTGAATTTAAACCACACGTGACATTGAATAATATTCTTATTTTAAATGGATACATATATCTCTATATCAATATACCAAATACTGATTGCTCAGGATCATGTCGACTTGAGTTACATGACTCGGAAGCTAATAGAAGAATATAACAAATGAGGTCTCGAAGTCAACATTAAGAAAACTGAAGCCATGTGTATTGGAGGGACAAAACAGTCCATTATATTGGACGATGCGGTAGAAATTTGAAACTGTGATGAATAGAAGTACCTGGATATGAAGATAACTCAAGATGAAACACTTGATGCTGCTGTAAAAGACAGAAACATACAGGGTAGAAAAATCCATGATGAGCGACATTCTGTGGGACCAAACAATATCTAAAGCGAACAAACAACTCATATACAACACCATACTTAAAAGTGTAATCACATATGGCAGTGAAGTTTGGCAAATGAAACAAAGAACAGAGAAACTGTTACTAGCAACAGAAATGGACTTCTGGAGAAGAGCAGCAGGCAAATCAAGAAGAGATCGGATACCAAATGAGAGAATACAAGAAATGATGGGAGTGAAGTATACAATAGTTGATGACATAACAACAAAACAGTTAATATGGTACGGCCATGTACAGAGAATGCCAGATGACAGGATTCCGAAGCAGATTTTGACGTGGACACCACAAGGGAGAAGGAAAAGAGGAAGGTCGAGAAGAAGCTAGAGAGAGGGAATTGAAAAAGAACTAGAGGAAAGAGAAATCCCTCCAGGCCTATGGTTAAATAGAGAAGAATGGCGGTTAGGAGTCGGAAGGCGTCGGAGAACGCTGTAAACATATAGTAGTAGTATATGTCTATATTCTATACCATATTGTGAAAGACATTTAAATTCTCTTTCATTCCATATACCTAGATCCAACAACTATTAAGTACATTTAAAAACAGCACTTTTTTATTTAAATTTTTGTGCCTTTTTGTCGAAAAAGGTTGACACATAATTTTTGGGTGAGAACTGTTTTGAGATCATCATCTGTGATTCCGTGGGATCTTCTTTCTTCCATGAACTGTGAACAATCAAGCAGGACATACTTAACGGTCAGTGGATCAGAGCTGCTTGATGATCCTTTTATTATTAAGTATTTGTGTATAAAGGCAGTATGGTTCTTAAACGGGTAAAAATAACTTGGTTAAATTACGTTTAATCTTGTACCTAATTTTTTCCAATCATTTTGGCATGTTGGTATAGTGCATTTTGGCATGTATATGATATAGTTTTGAGCTCATTCGACTTTTATTTGCCACTTAATCTGCTTCTTCATTTCCGTAGATACCTGTAGTATTCACGATAGATACACAAATAAAAGCCGCTTCCTTTCCTAATGATTGGAATGTTTCTAGTTCGTTTTCTATTATTTGTACAATAGGGTTGTTGGCATACATATATTTGTTTCAATCTCAGTAATGTATTTAATAAGTCTATTATAATAATGCACTTCATCGTTCTACTCACTTTGAAGAAGATTCATCATCATTATCATAAGTGACTCGACAATCAGTTGTGGATCTTGGCTTGCTCACAAAGAAGTCGCAACTCCTGTCCATTCTTCGCAACTTCCCTCCATCTTCTGACCCTTAGAATCTGTAGGTCTTCCACCTCCATCTCCTTCGTGGTCGTCATCTACTTCTTGTGCCCTCTGGTTAATTTCTTAATGAAATAATGAAAATGTTAATCTCTTCGTGTATTCGTGATCTGACATCCTAGCAATGTGTCCAGCCCATTAAGTCTCTGCATTTTAAAGAATTTCACAATATCTGGATCCGTGTATAACTGATATATACTCGGTTTCATCGTTCTTGGCGTGTGCCTGAAATAAGCTACTACGGAATTTTTAATATTCGTCTCTCTCTGATACACAGATGCGTAATTCAATTGTGCGAGTCACGTTTGTCATGGTAAAGTGCGATGAGAAGGGAATGAAGAGACCACTCACGTCTCCCAGTATTGTAGCAATAACACCGATGCGTTTGGCCGATACGGTGTCGATGATAAGTTCGGCCTCTTTACGAATACAGATAGCTGCCACTGGAGGAGGTAAACGAATCGAGCTTAGACAAGGAAAGACAGATGAAACAACTTATTGCAAGTGTTTTTACACGCACACGCCAAGAACGATGAAAACGTCTTTAGTTTAGTTGTATCTTCGACGCTATAGCCCATTTTCATGTACGGCCCCAAAAATCTTTCTAAGAATTTTTCTCTCAAAAATACCAAGAAATCTTTTATCATTTTCAGATAAGATCCACTCAGCCCCATATACTAAAACTGCTCTTATTAAGTTCTTGTATATATTGAGCTTTACTGCACGTTTTATATTTTTAATTTTTAAATGTTTGTGGAGACCGTGAACAGTTCTGTTTGCTATTGCTATGCGTCTTTTTATTTCGTTGCTTGTCGTGTTTCATGTTGCGTTTTCTAGCGATTTAAGATATGTATGTGAATTCTTTGACTTGCTCAAAGGTATGGTTGTTAATTTGAATTCTCTGTTGGATATTTCGGGGGTTTTTAGAAACATATATTTGGTTTTTTTCACCTACTTCACCAGTCTTGTAAAACACTGCACCATGTCTCTCATACTTCTGTCCACTATAACTATATCACCAGCGAATGCGAGAATTTGCGTCGATCTATTAAAAATAGTTTCATTCATTCTATTTTTGAAGAAGATTAGGACTTCCAAAATAGCTGAGGTCTATAGTACCTATAAGTATAGTGCAGTTTGTAGGAATCGATATGCTATAACAATTTTTATTGCAGTATTAGGCAGTAGGGTGACGATTTGGAGTTCTTAATATTTATAAAAACGATAATAGTAGATAAATAAAACACATTTCTAAAAAAAAATGTATATTAAAAACAATATAAAACTACTGATCCATCTCTGTTACTCCGAACACTCCTTGTAATAGTCTAGCGGCACCGTTCACGTTATAATGTTCTTTGTCTGATATGTATACATATGGAAAACGCATTATCCAATAAGCTGATTGCGTAAGTTTTGTAGGGCCTTCTGTGGTTGGTGTAAAAATTGGTGCTCCAGGACCCGGTTGAACCTAAAAAACATTGGAAAATATTAGTGACAAATTAATCACACTTCTTGCTTGTGGATGGAAATAAAAATTTAAATATTTTGATTCTTTATTTATGTACAGCCCGGCCAGGTTAGGTTAGGTTCTATATATGAAAAGTATGAGCACCCAATCCCCAGAAGACATACAGAAGTACAAAGAGAAAAACAGAGAAGTAAAACGAAGAAGGGCAAAAGAAAAGAATGACGAATGGGAAGAAACATGTGCACAAATTGAACAATAGGTACATAGGAGGAACAAGGAATTCGGAATCCTGAAATCTTTAAAATAACGAAAAGATTCAAATACCATACATATCAGAAAAAGAGTGGGAAGACTACTATAAAGAACTACTCACAGGAAACCGTCCAGATTTTATAGAGACAGACACAGAACAGGAACAACAACAAAATCAGATTGAAGAACAGATTGAGATAACATTAATCGAAGTAAAGACTGACATAAAGACTTTAAAGAACAAAAAATCAGGGGGACCAGGAGGCCCAATTGGAGCCCAATAGGAAGGAGGAAAACAGGTAGACCCCAAAAATCATGGAGGGATGAAGTGGACGAGGCCATGGAAAGACGAGACCTTAGAGATGGAGAATGGCAGAACAGAAAGGACTGGAGACGTTGGCTGAAAGAAGGAAGGCGGCGACAGCTGTAAAAATCCTTATATAGATAGATCAATATTAAAAGCAGTACCAAGAGATCTGCAATACTTATCGTACTTTAACTTTAATTCAAACAACGTTACTTACTTTAGGATCTAAAGTGCAGTGGACTGGCGCTTTAGGCGTTACTACATGCAATCTCATAAGTTGTGCCAATTTTCCTGCTCTGCAAGCACATGGAAAGTACAATGGCATATCGCTTTCAGCTATTTTGTGTCCTGTCTCCTTAACTATGCTTCCAGGCATAGCTTTCAACATTCTCTCAGGACTTGATAACATAAATCTATGACCAGACGAACATTCGTATTCTACACCGATGAATACTTTCACAGTAAACTGCGGTAAGCTTCCAGTGGATCGACCTCTCCTGCCTCTCGTGGTGTATTTATTAACGTGGGGCCATATTTGCTTGGATTTGGAAAATACTAGTACGTCCCATGGTAGGAGATAGTTGGTTGAGCTTAAAAATCCTGGTTGATGTGATTCTGATAATCCTAAAGAAATAAATATATTATTATACTGATAAAAAAATTAAGAGTACATGACTTTAGTATTTTAAATGAAAACAATATAAAAAAAATCCTCGAAACTTTTTCTCCACTTTCTTTTAATAAATAAATGAATTGAACAAGCAAGATCTGATATCTTCATAAAATGTGATTAATAACATAAAAACACTACAAAAACTAATCTAATGAGAGAGCGATTTCCGAAGTAGAAATAAAAACTAATTACTATTTATAACTGGGAATAAGCCACATAGCTTCAGAACAATATTAGAAATAAAAACGTCAAAATAAAATAATTTTAAAGTAAAATGTGAATATGGTCAATACTATGTGTTAGGTTCGATAACGGATGTGTTCTCCAAGCTTCGTATAAACCGTTGAGCTATTTGCAGCGTTTTAGAAGTTGTAGCTATCAATGTCAAAGTTTCGGCACCATAGGCCATCACAGACAACACACTTTGGTCAAATGTTTTACGTTTTAAAGAAATTGGTATATCGCTTTTAAAGACGTCTTTGAGTTTTCCATAGACTGTCCATGCTATTATTCTTCTTCGTAGTTCGCATGTTTGATTGTCTCTTGTGATCTTTATTTAGTGTCCAAGGCTTCTTCCAAAAGCTCTACTTCTTTGTCTCCAATATTGATATTTCCGCTAGGTACTAGGTTTGTCATGAATTTTGTTTTGGTGATGTTTAGTTAAGACATGAGCAGTGCCAAGAACTAGAAGAAATTGAGAAAAAATATGACTTTTTTAACATGCATAAAAGAATTAGTGAATTAACAGGAATGAGAAAAACACTTCAAACTAGGCAACTAAGAGATGAAAGGGGTGCACTTATAACAGATATAAACCAAAAAATGCAGAGATGGACACAATATATAGCACAACTATTTGAAGACAAAGAGAGAACAGAAGCACCAAAAGAATTTAAGGATGATACTGGGCCTGACATTATACGAGAAGAAATTGAATATGCAATGAAACAAGCTAAAGATGGTAAATCTCCCGGGCCTGATGAAGTTCCTATCGAATTACTTAAAATTGTGAATACTGAATCTATTGATCTTCTTTTGGATCTATTCAATACCATATACAGAACAGGTATAATACCTAAAGAATGGCTCCAATCAACATTCATACTGCTTCCCAAAAAAGCCAATGCAAAGGAGTGCAATGAACATCGCACCATAGCCTTAATGAGTCATGTCTTGAAATTGTTTTTAAAAGTAATTCACAATAGAATACATAAGAAATTAGATGAAGAAATAAGTAATACACAAATGGGATTTAGGAATAGACTGGGAACACGAGATGCACTGTTTGCAGTAAGTGTTTTTTCGCAGAGATGCTTAGATATTAATCAGGAAGTATATGCCTGTTTCATTGATTTTGAGAAGGCATTTGACAGAGTGCAGCATAATCGACTTAAAGAAATTTTATTAAATAAAAACATAGACAGTAGAGACATTAGAATCATCTGTAACCTCTATTGGAATCAAACAGCAAAAGTGAAAGTTGAAAACGAACTGACCAAGGATATCCAGATTCGCCGTGGGGTCCGCCAAGGGTGTATTTTATCACCCTTGTTATTCAATTTATACAGTGAAGCCATCTCAGAATTAGCGCTTGCCGAGATCAGTGAGGGCCTTATAATAAACGGTGAGCCACTTAATAACATAAGATATGCTGACGACACCGTCCTTTTGGCAGGAACACTAGAAGAACTGCAACACCTTGCTGAACAACTAAATATATATTGCAACGATTATGGACTAAAAATCAATTTGAAGAAAACCAAGTTCATGGTATTTACAAAAGCACAAAACATCAAAGTTAAGCTAGTACTAGATAATACAGAAATTGAACAAATATCTTCGTACAAATACCTTGGAGCATGGATCACAGAAGATACTGATCAGACAAAAGAAATAAGATGCCGCATTGAAATTGCGCGGTCAACTTTTAATAGAATGAGAAAACTTTTTTGTAATCGCGATATCAATATATCGCTCCGGATAAGAATGCTTCGATGTTATATTTTCTCTACCCTTTTGTATGGAGTTGAAGCTTGGACACTTAAAAAATCCAACATTAAAAACCTAGAAGCATTCGAAATGTGGTGTTACCGACGCATTTTGAAAATATCATGGATGGATCGCAAAACAAACGAACAAGTTCTCGAACAACTAGGAAAACAATGCGAAGTTTTAAATTCCATAAAGATCAGGAAATTGGAATACTTGGGGCACATCATGAGAGGTGAAAAGTACGAACTACTAAGGAATATAATGCAGGGTAAAATCAAAGGTAGAAGAAGCGTAGGAAGACGTAAAATCTCGTGGCTACGCAATCTCCGTGAGTGGTTTGGATGCAGTTCAATTGAACTATTCAGGCGAGTAACCAATAAAATTATAATTGCCAGAATGATTTCCAATCTCCGATAGGAGTGGAACTTGAAGAAGAAAAAGTTAACACCCACACTGGCATACACTAACTGAAGTTCATGTAGCATTGTACATATTATCTCCTTGAGGTTGTCCGAGATCAAAACTATGTCGTCCACGAATTTCAAATTTGTTAATCTTCTACCGTCAATGTTCAGGAATTTCTCTTCCCAGCTAAGTTTTTTACAACCATATTCTAGTACTGCGGTAAACAGTTTATGCAATAAGGTATCACCCTGCCGAACTCCTCTGTCAATTGGAATATGATCCGTGTTTTTATGTAGTTTCACCAACATAGTTGCGTTCTTGTACCACCAGATACAAGGATATCACAACTTATAAGATAAAGTCTTATTGTCCCTTTTTCGAGATCTTCGAAGAACTGTTCTTTTATGTCTTCTGGTTTGTCATCAATCGGGACATATGAGTTGATCAAAGTATAATTAAAAGGGAAATTACTTAATTGCAGTTTGATCAAAGCACATGCCCCGACTGTACAATGCACAATGCATTGCTGTGATTAGTGATCAGTGTGGTAAAGTCTGATCTCGGAAGCCCTGAAGAAGACATCAAAGAGGATGTTGTTGCGTAATAACAATATTTAATATTTTTATTTAATTTTGTATCATATTATTATATCACACTGTATATTAGTTTAGATTTATAAAATCCCTTTGTACCAACTAATGATCTGTAAGGCGCCGATAGCTTGCATTCAAATAACTTTCTAGACACAAGCTTCTAAAACCTTCAAAGAATCTAACAATGAAACAATCAATCAATCTAACAAATCAAAAAATCAAAGAATCTAACAATGAAACAAAGAATCTAACAATCTAACAATGAAAGTATTAGTAATTCCAAATTATCGGTTTGAGTCATTCGAAATTTCCCAACATTGACGTCAGGTAATTTTACTCATAAAATTAAATCCGAAGGTATTTGAAATGTAAACATATCCGTTATATACGTCGAGGGTCAGGGGGGAGATTTCTGAATGTTAAGAAAATTACGAGCAGAGTGATGGAAGGAAGTGATCAGTATACGTTCAAATTCCAGCATTGGATGAGCGCTAGACTCTACTCGCCACAGCAGCACTTCAGAAGGTTTAACACAGTTGGTATATTAATAAGTTTTAATAAGTTCGTGTCAATATTGTATCACTGAAAAGTTATCTAGTTTTATAGTTTCATAAATCAGCTATCGTAAGCAAGTTATTGGCGTCCAAAATACGTTGTAATTGTTTAAATAGACTTGATAAAACGTTCTTTTCGAATTTTTCATTTGTCCCAGTTTTCTGGGTGGTCCTTCAAAGAAGTATACAAAGTGAACCTATTTCCCTAAGTAAAAACTTTGTTCCCCAAGGGAAAAAACCAGCGACCTATGACTGGTGCGCGAAACAAAGGCATCAGGACGAGGTGTAAGGACAAACACACCTGCATCTTAGCTCAGATGTCGACAGCTCATCGCAGTGATAATTTAAGGAATTTCATCAACTCCGTGTTGTCATTTGGAATGTTAAGTCCTATAAACTGAATAGACTAGACATTAATAAGATCGTTACAATAGTTTGGGTCATGGTGAAAAAAAGGCAGAAAATATAAAGGCCACAAATTTAGGAGATGAGACGAATTCATCCACATGCTGGACTAAAATAGATTCTCAGAATTACTCGAAAAAGGCCGCTCTTTCTTTTTTGTGTTCAAAGAAGATTTTAATAGCTGTTAATATTTATTTAGAATTATTTTAATTACATACCTAAATTATGACTGTACAGCGACGATGCTCCAAGACACACTAAAGACCAAGAGGAATATATTGGCAACAAACCAGGAGTTGTACTCAACGTTAGCATCGCCGGGGCAGTTTCTGACAAACTAGAGTTTTCCTTCTCCTGATCCTTTTCACTTCGCTCTGATGAAACCGATGACTCCTCCGTTTCGCTGACAGAGGCTTTGGTCGTTTTCGTTTGTTGGGGAAATTGTATTTTTTCCAGTTTCGAGCATTGACATTCTTTGGATATTTGATGATAAAATGTGTAATTGGCTTGCTTTACGTTGTATGGGTCCTCCCTAGCTCCCACTTTTCGGCCACAATCACATACGGCTGAAAGAAAAAATTTAAAAATAACTATTTTACTGTTCGGTAAATAATGAGTTTACAATTTGTAATAATCAGAGTCAGGTAAATAATAGGTCATATTTGCTGACTCTAGTAATAATCATAGTTTTATCGTTTATCTTATATTAGAAACTTAGGAAGAATTGAGAGAAGAGGTTTTTGCGCACTTAAACTTAAACATTTGTCAACTACCAGAATTAATGGTATCAGAACTACCAAAATTAAACTTTGCAGTGCAATAATTCAGTTGATTTTAATCGATGACTTTATCAAGGCTTGGAATTTTGACGTAAATTTCAATTAACTCTGAGACTGGATTGTAACTAGAAAATGGATGGGTAAGGTTATTTAAGGTGTGGTTCATAATTGGGCTTCAGCAGCTCGGACAGTTTGATTGATAATATTTCTCCACTGGTCGCGGTCATGAGTTATATGTATTGCCTCAGTATACTGTTTATTGAGAAGCTTTTTAGTAATGTCCGCACATCGCTGTGGAGATCTTCCGCGTTGGCGTTGAGTCTGAGGCCTTCCTTGGACCACCAACCGCTCCATTTTGTGATCACTTCGATGGATATGGCCAAAAATGTGTCTGAATTATCAAATAGCAAAAATGTCTAGCTAGAGGAATCATAGAACATTATTAAAATTTTATAATAATAATAGCCTCTCTTTATACCGCTGGCGTAGGTTAGGGAAAGGGCTATATCAAGATAGCCTGCTATTTCTTGGACCTATGATATACGCTTTATAACGCTAAGTTGAGTGGACCGCGGCCTATAGATATGTTGATTTATTTATTTATTAAAACTTACAAACACCACCTAGGTAGTAATTACATGTAAGAGTGCTTATTACTTGGTATAAAAATATACACACAAAATTCGCTCCGTGCGTGACCATGGTAGGGGTACATTGAAACGATGCCAGCGTGCGTAGCGGCGAAATATGACAAAATTGGAATATTGGACAAAATATTTTTACGCATAAATTTTATCAAAAATGTGTGGAAATACATGTTGCGTATTTAATTGTGCTAATAATAGCAAAAACAGTGAGTGTAGTTTTTATAGGTTCCCAAAGATTACATATAAATAAGAGAAAAGAAAAAGATGAATTCGTGCTATTAATATGAAAAAGTAAATATGACATAATTTCATTTTTATGCAATTGAAATAGGAAAAATTTAAATAATTTACCTTGAATGATATTTCATAAGGCTTCAAGCTAACTGCAGATGACTTTAGCTTTTAATATCATAACTTTTACTATTACTGTTTTTAATTATATGCTCTTTTGCGTGAAAAACTTGATTTGCCAGTACTAGATTTTTCCCTATCTTTTCCGTTTGGAGTTGAAAAGATATATTATGATGAATTTTGAGAAACCCAGTTTTTAATAGTACATTTATTTTGTACATAAACTGAAAAAATATAGTTAAAAACGAATTTATTAATAATTGTCAATGTCGCATGTATTTAACAATGTCAAACATATGTCATATGTTTAACCTGAAAATTGGGACTCCAAAATTGTCAGTTGAAGGCGGTAGGTGTCGCGTCAGTCACGCACGGAGCGAATACACACAAGTACAAAATAAAAACACAAAATAAAACACATTAAAAAAAGACACAAGTTAATAAAATTTTAAAAATTGAGTCCATTACTTATCATACTTATTCATAACATTTTTTAATATCCCTAACACTATAGGTAAAGAGGTCTATATCACAGATGTTTATTAACTCATTACACTAATATTGCACATAGTTTATTATTGCACAAGAATTATATGGACTAGAAGAAAATAGGTCATTACTGTTTACCCTTAGGTGGACCTTTGGCACATGAAACCTAATAAAGTTGATCAAACCACATGTCTTATATTTAAGATTGTTAATGATATTATGAATAAATACAACGCAATACATGTTTCTTCTTTGCTCTAATGACTGCAAGCCAAATATTTGAAGCAACTCTTTTGATGGCGTAAGGTGAGTATACACATTGTATTTCTTAAGGTATAAATACCTTAGAAATCTTTTTTTTTACCTTTTCTATATGATTAATATGAACTTTGGCTTCAGGAGTCCATACCACTGATACATATTCCAAGTTTGGTCTGACTAAAGCGTTATATAGTCTAATGGTTGTGTTTATACTAAAGTGTTTAGAATTTCTTATTACAAATCCAAATATTTTGTAGGCCTTATTAAAAATATTTATATAGTGTTCATTAAATTTCATGTTAGCCTGTAGGTATATTCCCAGATTTTTATATTTGGTTTTCCTAGATACTACACAATTGTCAATTCTATAATCATTTTGAATGTAATCAATTTTGCGAGTAAAAGATATGACTCCACACTTCTTAATATTCAAGATCATATTGTTGTCCCTAAACCATTCCATAACTGAGGTCAGGTCCTCCTGTAGTAACTGACAACCATTTGAAGTATGTATAGTCTTAAAAAGCTTAAAATCATCAGCATAGATCAGACTAGAAGAAAATTTAAGAGATCGTGGTAGTGAGTTGACAAAAATTAAGAAAAACAAAAGCCCTAAGTTGCTCCCTTGGGGGACACCAGATGTAGCCTGAGATTTATCTGATAAACACCTACCAATTTTGACTCGTTGAAACCTTGATTCCACATACGATTTTATAAATGTACAAGCATCATGCGAAAAACCAAACTCATTCAATCTCGATAAAAGAATGCCATGGTCAACCATATCAAATGCCTTTGAGCAGTCAGTCATTATTAAATCTAATTGGAGTTTATTATTTATTGCCTCACTAGCAAAATTAGACAGAATGCACAGATTACTAGTTGTGGATAACCCAGGCAAAAAACCATGTTGTTCTGGAGCAAATTCATTTTCAAAATTTTTCAGTATATTCATATAGAGAATAGATTCAAATATTTTAGCCAGGGAATTAAGGATACTTATAGGACGATAGTCTTATATATTGTTTCTATTACCTGATTTAAAAACTGGAGTAATGGTAGCCTCTTTGAGTTTGTCTGGAAAGGTGTTAGTTTTAAGAGATAGATTGAATAGATGTGATAATGGTTTTTGAAATATATCAGAACATCCTTTAAAGATATAGGCAGGGATATTATCACTACCAGTGGCCTTTTTTGGCTTTAATTTTTTTTATACTAACCTTCACATCTTCTGCACTAATAACTGAAAAGTTAAAAGATCCCAGTGAACTACCCTGATGATACCTGATAAATTGAGCTAAAATGATGAGAGAAAGCCATGGCAACATCCTGACGGCCTGTATAGGTATGATAATTTAAAGACATCTCGTGAGGAAAACCGCTGGTTTGTCTCCTACTTCTTATGAATGTCCAAAAACTATTTGGGTCATGCAAAATGTTATCTTCAATATTATTTTGATGCTGCATAAATTCATTTTTGATTTGCTTTTTAATAGTATTTCTAAGAATCCTGAATTTATTGTTAAAACTATCTCGATGTTTTCGCCGGTGCCAGATAAACCAAGTCTTCTGCTTCATAATCAGTCATTTTACCGTTAGAGTTATCTGGCCCCATCAAAACTTTATTTGTAATTAACAATGTGTGTGCCCTCCTCTAACAGGAGAAGAGGAGGGCATTATGTGTGCGTTACACTACATATTTTGCATTTAAATCAGAACATTTGTGAGTTGTTGAATGGTATTTGTCGTAGAGAGAGTTCTTCGGAGGGAGCACTCCAGGGGTCGTATTTTTGAATGTGTTCGAATTTACTCGCATGCGATTAGTTCGGACGAAAAAAAATCGTGCACGAACGTAAAAGCGTATTTTCGAACGCAATTCGAAAGTTTAATTCGCATACGAGAATCCGTTAACCCAAATTCACCGGCAACGCCGCAAACTCTCACGAAATTAAGAAAAGAAGAGGTAGAGGTGACAGGCGACATTTATTTGACTGACAAGTTTATTTTACTTGTTGCAGCAGACTTGAAGTTTTTTAGTTTTTTGTGATTTGCTTAATTTTCTACACAGTGTTAACGTGTTTTGGCTTGTGTTTTCGTAAATTTCTGGAAGATTAAGAGCTTCTACCACCTCGTAAACTGCCTTTGATACTGTTCCCTGGGAAATAGCATGATTCATACTTCTAGCTATGTCCCACTGATAGCTACCACTAGCAAGAAATCTTACCTCTGTGAAAACCTGCAAAAAATTATTGTAGGTAAACAATTTTATTACTCTCTATGTAAAATACTTGGCCCGGATGCTCATTCTTAAGGAACAAAGCGGAGGGTGCTTTGGGGAACATTTTCACAATATACCTATATCGAATTAAAAATATTTGTTATACTTATCTTTCTCGGTATGCTCAATGCAGATGCCCTAGATGGAGGTACCAAGTGGGGCTCCAAAAGTTCTATTAGTTCCTCTACCAGAGGCTTTGTTAAACGGTATAATTTTACTAATTGTTTGTCTGATAAGGATTTAAGAGGGTTTAAAAATGCATGGTATACTCTATTCTCCACATTCGCTAACATTTCTGCATCTTCTAAGGCATTTAAAACATTTCTTCCAATTAAAAAAATTAGGCCGGCCATCTCACTTATGTAAACAATTAAAAACCAAACTAAATGCAAAAGTCAGAAATGTCAAACTCCGTGTGTTTACCGCTATTCGAATGGTGAATATCCACTCGAGCAGTCGTGTACGAAAATCGTCGTATACGATGCGTTCGAAATCAACTCGAAAATACGAATCATCGATTTTCGTTCGAAATTCATCATCTTTCGCATACGACTTCCGTTCGAACGGTTTCGAAAATACGGGCCTAGTTATGTATAAAAAATACAAAGTATATAAAAAAACCAACCTACCACATATAAAAGTGAACAGCATTTCGTCTCATTGATTGCTTATGCATTATTGCAATTTTTTGTGAAAACTGATTTATTAGTGTATTGATTATAAAACAGTATAATAATAAAAAAATTAATAATACACTACCTTTATAGATAAATCCACTCATGTGTTCCCTATCGCTAGAATGTTTTGGTAACTTACAGGGATTACCAGTCAAAGAAGCGACTTCGCATTGTTGTCTACCGTTTTCCCAATGAGCTCGACAGTCCTTTTCTAGCTGAGACGCATAGCGCTCAAAAACCGGGCCACGTGCTTGAGCTCTAAATAGTGTTAGAGCTATCGCCAATCTAGCTTCGTGATCAACTTTGGCATAGTGCGAAGGTAAACCCTCTAAATACCTGGCTAAAGCTAAAGGAAGGACTTTCAGACAACGTTGTTCAGAAAATCGGGTATCGGTACATAGAGCGTTGACCAGTTTTTGTTTTGATAAAAGTTTGTAAAGAACTTTAGTGGCTTCAATCCACTGCTTTAATACAGGTAGCTGTAAAGATAAAATAAATTATTTAAGAATTTGAAAAAAAAGAAGGAATTTGTGACTAGCTGACCCTGCGAACTTTGCACCACCGTAAAATTAGTAATATGTCAAAGTTCAATAACTAAAAACTAACAGACAACCAAAAACAAATACTCAAAACATTCTGTACGAAAAAAGTTTCAATTTAATGCGTTTTAGTAAACAATATTTTCGGTCTTTTTTTATTTGCGTAAAAATACAACGATGGCGGTTTTTCCAATCGCGAAAATGAGACGTACAATTGTCAGTGCGAGGAACATCGAAACTCTAAGTTGATTCCGCAACCTTCCATAGATTGGACTTGCGATTTATTGATCGTTATTACAAAGGAATTTTTTTTTTTTTTTATTAACAAAATCGCATCAGCCAAATTGGCTATTAGCGAACAATAATTTTTATTACATTTATATTATTAGTTTATATAGCATTTAAAATATTAAGTGAGGTTAAGAAACTTTTTATGTTTTTAATATTGCACTGTAAACCTAAAATGTCACTTAGTTTGTTAGGTATACTCATCGAGCAATAAGACAAAAGAGGGAATCTAATCCTTATGAAAAGGAGACCAAAAAAGTGGCCTCTGATGGCGGACATATCCGGAAATGCGAATGCGCCAAATTTAAATTTTCCGACACTTATCAACAGTAGCTATATAATATTTTTCAGAATGTATCTTAGACGAGAAAGTTTTAATTAATTATTAATGATAAGAGTCTAAAATGCGACACAATTGTTAAAAAACTTCAGTATAAATAAGATTAACAACATAACCCAACTAAATTTGATGTCAAACAAGGAGAGAGACTCTCTTTCCTTGTTTAATGTGGCCTTTAAAGATCGCACTTCCTGTCTAACAATATGTTTGCCCCCACTACCTTTACATTCCCTCTTTTGTCTTTTTGCTCGATGGGTATACTGTACAATATGCGCTTTGGCGTTAATGCTGGACATTTTTCCAATATATGTTTGACTGTTATTTTTTCATCACAGTTGTCACATCTTGGTTCTTGTTTGTTAGAGAACACGTAGCTATTCGTTAGCCGCGTATGACCCAGTCGAAGTCGCGTTAATATTACCTGGTCTCTTCGACTTGTTGGTAATGTGGGCCAGGGTTTAATCGATTTTTTTACATCGCGTAGCTTTGCCGATGACACTTTCCACTTTTCATTCCACATATATCGCACTTTAAATTTAACCGTTGCTTTCACGTCCGCACTCGTAAATGTCTTAGTACATTCCGCACTATCACTACTTGCAGCTTCTTTTACAGCGTTGTCTGCCTCTTCATTTCCTGTAATTCCAATATGGGATGGTATCCAAAATAATATAATATTTTTTCCATTCAGTTGAGCGGTATGGATTTCTTCTTTTATCTTGATGACTAAAGGATTAGTTGGGTAGACATATTGGATTGACTGGACTGAACTTAGAGAGTCTGTGAGTATGATATAATTGATGTTATTGAATGCATTGACAGCAAGGGTAGCCTGGTATAGAGCATACAGTTCAGCAGAGTAAATGGAGTACTCTGAAGGGAGTTTATATTTATTTGTCGATGTTGGGGTTATGATTGCAGCACCAGTACCTTCATTTGATTTAGATGCATCTGTGTATATATGTGTATAGTCCTTGTAGTTGTGAAGCATATCGTTGAAGGCGGATTTGAATAACTGTGGGTTTGTTGAATGTTTGTCGAAAGAAATGAGGCGGGTTAGGCACTGAGGATTCTTTATTTGCCATGGAGGAATTGAGGACAATTGGGAAGAAAAGCATTCTGGGAACGTGTAGTTTATTTGATTTAAATAGCTTCTAATCCTTGCGTAGAAAGGTTTGGCAGTTCTTGGCTTATGTATGAAGAGATTTGGAAACTTTTCTGTAAAACAATTGTTAATGGTAGGGTTTTTTGGGTTAGACCTGATTTTTGCGGCATATGCTACACTTAAATAAAGTCTTCTGTCTTCTAAGGACGGTTCACCAACTTTACAATAAATACTTTCGATTGGTGTTGTGCGAAAAGCTCCAGATATTATACGTAAAGATAGGTTGTGAAGACTGTCAAGTTTCAAGATCCACAATCTAATTTTGATCTGATTAATGTTCTGTATAACATTAAAAGTGTTTGGCGATCCGCACCCCATTCTTTATTGGCCAGAGTTTTAAGAAGATTTAATCGCTTGTGACAAGATAAGATCAAATTTGTTATATGAAGTTTCCAGCTTAGATTTTCTTCAAATGTCATGCCCAAGAATTTTATTGACGTTACACGTTTTAGGTCCTCATCACATAGTCTTAGGTTAGGGATGTTTGTGACATTTTTCTTAGAAAACAGGATGAAACGAGTTTTTTCAGTGGAAAAACAGAAACCTGTTTTTTGTGACCAGAGTTCTAAGTGTACAAAGGAAATTGTAGATACTTGAAATCTAATTTTAAGTCCGTTGGAATCATCGGTATATGCGGGATCAAGAGATCCTCTTCTTTGTATTTTCTCTCGATTATCGTTGTCTGAATGTAATTATTCATTAGCTTTTTCTTAATCAATCTAGTTCCACTGCACAATCGAGGTTGATTAATGTTACGCAACATAATGACAACTGATCCTACTTTTAATTGTAAATTGTGGGATAGTTGACATTGTGTTATGCTCGATGTTATTCTGTACTTATGTACGAAGTCGTTTCATTCATAAGCGTATACACTTCATTCTCTATTACAGTAGAACACAATTCTAACATGCCAATACTAAAAGTAAAAAACGTATCCCCTACAAGGAATCGAACCACGATCCCTCGCGTGACAGGCGGGCATACTCACCAATGCACTACCCAGTACATTGGAATCATCTTCTTCTTAGAGTGCAGTCTCCCTACGGAGGTTGGCAATCATAATGGCTATTTTTATTTTTGAACTTGCTGCTCTAGACAAATCAATGGATCTGCATTGATACCAACCACGTAGATTCTTCAACCATGAGTTCTGCCTTCGGCCAAGAGATCTTCTTCCATGAATCTTTCCCTGTATTATGAGTCTCAAAATTTCATATTTTGGTCCCCTCATCAGTGTATAGTGGTGATTAATTATCTTTTTTACCAACCCTCCCCAGTACTTCTTTATTTGTAATTATATCAGTCCATGATATTTTTAATACTCTGCATAACCAGAGTTCGAAAGCCTCGATTCTTTTTAAATTGTATTTTTTTAATGTCCAAGTTCCAGCTCCATGTAAGCTGTTTTTGATAGCATATTTGATTTCATTTATCGTGATCTTCTGTCTCTCTAAAGGATTTAATTCTTGTATTTTCTGCATTTCACCTATTTCATCTTGGAAAAGTTATCTAATGTACTCCTCCCATTGTCTTAATTTCTCTGGTAAATCTATTAGTAGTACTCCTTTTTTGTCTTTTATGTGTCCTTGCTGTCTATTTCGACTCATTCCAGTCACTTCTCTTTTGTTTTGTGCATTTCTCATATCATATTTTGTTTCTAGTTTTTCTATATCTTTACATTGTTTCATCAAATAGATTTCCTTAGCGGTTTTGATTTTTTTCCTTAATCATTCGTTGTGTTTCCTTATACTTCTGTAGATCTTTTCCTTTATATTTCCTTCTTTCTTCCATCTGTAATAGTATTTCTTCTGTCATCCACTGTTTTTTTAGCCTTTGACCTATGTTGTATCAAACTTTCTTGAGCTGGTTTCAGTAATGTGTTTTTTATGTTACATATACCACTTTTTATTTACATCCATTATTTTTTTGTTGTCAGTTAGTGTTTTTGCATATTAACATTCACATTATTTTTTAATTCGTTTTTTATTTCTTAATTTTTTAGCATTCTTACATTAATTTCTGGTCCTATCATGGTAACTGTCAAATACGAAATTATTAAATGCGCGAAATTTAAATAATCGTTAACTTTTTGCAAAAATGTTTAATTTTCTGTGTTAAAATGTGTCTGATAAAGATATGTCAAGTCTCCATTGCTCTTCAACCTATACTCTGAATGTATATTTAAACTAGACTATGCAGAATATTGAAAAAGTAAACAGTAAATATATTAATAATATCACATATCTAGATGATAATACTGATGGCAAAAAGAATCGAGTGCTTAGAAAATATATTAGACAGAGTAAATGATACAAGTAAATCAATGGGACTGACTATAAATGTTCAGAAAAGGACAGACGCTGTAGCGTTATAGCTTAATTTTGCTATTGTCTTATCCCATCTTAAAAATGTTTAGTAAATGTATTAAGTAAAATCTTCTAACCTCAAAATGAGCTGCCTGAGAATGCTGGTGTCTTCCAGAACTCACGGTGTCATCAAAACCTTTGGTTCTTGCCTGCTGAATATGGACAAGTAGGAATTTCTTAAAGTTCTTTTCTCCTCCTGGCTGACTAGAATACGGAACTTCTAACTGCATAGCTCCTCCTGGTTGGCAATCCAATAATAAACCTCTTACCATATGTCCTAGGTCATCTGTATAACTATCTGCTTCCTCGATGTAAACAAATTCATCATTCATAGGAATAGCAAACACTGAACATCTTAAAGTAACATAATACATATATGAAAATATGCTGTCTATGAAATAATACTGTTATGAGATATAGGAAACAACAAAGTGTTATTTTCAAAATCATAATAAAGTATATTGCGAAAAGTCCTATTATAACAATAATAGAAAATAATGAAGAGATGGTGATATATCTAAGTTTGAACATGGAAAAGAAAGGAACAGATATACTCTAAAAGCAAAAAATTCCAAACAAATGTTAAACTTCCGCAAAGAAACGAAAAAGAAATAAGATGATTACTGTAATTTTAAGTTGTAGTCAGAAGCATTTACACTGTTTTTCTTACCCAGAGGAACTAATAATACGTGTTTTCTTTAAAACAAAATATATTTTATCTTCTAAATTATGTTCTAGCTTTTTCACATTGGTAATGTTAGTTGGACACCTCTCAAAATAAAATATCAATCTTGGAGTACAAAATCTTCCAGCAGCAACCCATTCTTGGCTAAGTGTGTCAATACCCTTTAGAAGTTCTGTAATTTTGTCACTTAGTTTTTGACTAAAACAAAAGATCCAAAAATTAACATATGAAACAATTTTTTATAATTAGAATATACAATCAGTTAAAAATATGTACCTATTTTAAGGAAAACTATTATAAGGCTTCCAAGAACTCTGGGCAATCCCATAAAAAATTTAAATTTACTCCAAAATATCATCTTGATTTAGTGTTGAATCAATCGCGATTGATTGGTTCGTTTTGATACAATCACTTCAAAGTATTGAACGACCAAATCCCGCTAGTTTATAACGATCGAATCATACAGTGACAAAAATCTATTGATCGGCCATTGATGGAGCAGATCGAGCTTGATCCAAAACAAAATCCAACAGCCCATTTGATTACTTTCAATTCTTGGTCGTTCCTCATTTGAGACAAAGATGAAGACTTCTATTAATCAACTTATTACTTGACAATTAATAATAGTCAACATACTTTACTTTCCTTTATTTTTCTTTGTAATTCTTAAACAATTTCTTTGTTTATTATTTTGGAGATCATTGTTTTTACTGTATAATATACTTATTTAGTTTTTATAATTTTTTTTTATTCTTCTTTTGTTTTCTTTTCAAATGTTAAAAGTTTAATAAACTGTCAAGTTTACTTATTATTATAATACTGTAAGTATAATAGAGATAGATACATAAAATCTATAATAAAGTATAATAGTATTATAGAGATAGGTACATACAGTTATAGATACATATAATCTATTTAAAATATTTTTTGCTGCTTCTTGCTTTCTTTGGTCTATGTTTGACTTAAGTCTAAAGTCTAGGGATATTAGTAGGTAAAAGGATGCATCAGACACCCTCTATTTACCTGAAGAAGGACCAAATTCTTTCAGCCAATTTACAAAATTGGTACAGATACATTAAATTATTTTTTTATACTAAATATAATATGTTAAAAAAAAAATAGTGGTAATTACAATATTTTCAAACTATTTACATTAAAGGAAAGACATTAAAAGAAAGTTGTTTATTGTTTTGATATGTTGAGGATTTCTTCGAACAGAATTCTCTCTGGATATTTACAGTGAGTGTTTTCGGGTATATTCATAATTTGAGCCTCAACCAGTTGCTTGTTTTTTTTTTCTTTAATAGGGAAAGATTGGAATTTGGTTGAGATTGATTTATTGGGTTTTCAGAATAATGTGGATCTAATATTGTGTTAAATTCGTCTTGGGGATATTTGTATAATTTTTTTTTGGGATTTGTTAAATGCGATGCTCCTCCTTCCAATAACAAGCTACCGCTATTCTGAAGCCATTTCAGCTTCCTGTTACTTATGTTTTTTTTTTCTTTACCTTTTCTATCTTTTTTTTTTATCACTAATTAACTTTCAATCGATTTTGAACTATATCGTTAGCTAATTACCGATATAGGGCTGATTTACGTCCTTCCTCTATGAATATCAAACAATTACTGTGTAGAAAAGTTTATTACTTTACTTTACCAGTTTTTACTTTGGCAGTTAGTGTCCGACGTAAATGAAATGCAATCTACTGGTAAATTACTATTTTACAAATTACTTAAATAATTATTTATAGAAAAATACAGAAAATTTGTTACCTTAATGAATCTATGGCTTTAAAATACTGGATGTAATTAGTATCTACTGTACAAGTGGGATGTGATAAAATTACAATGTGACTAATATGAAATATTAGTAGAAGATATCGAGCGAAAATACTTTTTATTTCATCATATACAGCTAAGAAATCATCACACTTTCTGTCAGCTTCACATTTCTTTTGAATAGCTGAATATTCATTCACAAATAGGTCTGCATCTAGAGGACTGGACATATGTAAGTAAACTATTTGATTTTCTTCATCATATGAGCCATCAATTACACACTACAAAAAAACATTTAAAGATAAGCCAAATATATATGGTGCAAGAGCACAATGCTCCATGTATGAATCAGTATCATTAGTCTTATAAAGCATTATTTCTGCATAACCTTGCATCGTCAGAGACTCAAATAGATGCAAATTCAAACACAGAACAGACAGCAAATGTCTCTATTTATTTTCCACCTGTAGTGGTAACTAAAGGTTATCTTTTCTGTCTATCTATTCTGATGGCCACAACAAAATAAAATTTAATAAAATTTTTTTCTATCCTTTTGAGCTATTCGAAAATTTCAAAGTTTACATTTCAGCAAAAGTATTTACATTTGAGAAAATTTTTTTCAATAAGGATGTAATTGCATATATAAAGAAGTTAACTTGGTATTCTACAAAGAAAATTTCGTTGTAAAATGTACAACAAGAATCGAGAATTAACATATTTGTAAAACGTAACCTAACCCTAATCTTCACAGAATATTAAGAACAATCAGGATTGCAATGGACATACCCTCACAAATTTTTTCGGCCTAGTCAAAAATCAATTTTAGATTTAGCATGTTCTTAACCACAAATGATTGTCTATACCCATGATACCATTCAAGAGACAGATAAATATAAAACAATACGATAAAAATAAACCAAAACCTTAGGGTATTAAAATCTTCGCATTATGCAGAAACACTGGGCTGTGGTATGATTTCATAATATATCAAGGAGCAACTACTGGGTATTATTCAAGGAAACCTGGGACGGTAAATACAAGTTAAATCTTGAAATTTAAGCTGTACTATGACAACTACTTTAGTAATTATATTCTATTGCAATATTTGAGAGAAAAGCTAGAGTTGATAGCTTCCAGAAGCCACCATATTTTTTTCAGATGTCAAAATGAAGAAGAAAGATAGAGGATCATGCTAAGAATTAATTAGTGGTGAAAGGTGAAAACCTTATTATATTATACCACATTATATCCATTGACTTGCTGTTTGAAAACCTACATTCTAAAAACTAGCTGTCAAAGGATCATTATCAATTTTGTACAATTCTTAATGTCACTTTGCAGGTTTTATTTTAGTGTTTAAACATTATGTGTTAAAATTACTATCATAATCTTTACCTCTTGATCGTCCGTATTCTCTTTTTGAGCAATTACGCGACCTATAGATTTTACTTTTAAACCAGATAAATTGTAAGGCGATTTCCCAATAATTGATACAACCACAACTTTATCACAAGAAATGCCGGAAACATCACTGAAAGTAATAATGTATTATATTAAAATTTTATTAAATTATTTCTTTACTCACAACAATTGATCAAAATTGGGTATTCGGAACGTGTTTCGCATTATGATATTGTTTAAATTAATTTGTTTAACTTTTAACTTGTTCTTAGTTTAGGTTAGGTTACTAACAAATCTTCTTTTCTCCTAAAATTTTATACTGGTATTTAGCCATTCATTTTAATATAAATCACACACCTGTAGCACCCTGTAGGCACAACAAAAAGCGAAGATAAAAAGAAGATGTTTCTTTTTTTGTAATAGGTTAATAGGTAAGATCTAAAATATTTTGATATTATGAAATTATGTGGTTATTATCGAAATATAATCACTATGAGGATTTAAAATTCAAATGATTGAAATATCATTTTTGTTCCTCATACAAGAATTGTTTTTAATTTTTTTTACCATAGAAGAAAAATGAGTGAAATTAACGAATTAGAACAAGCTTTGGTAATGGTTGCAGCTGATGCTGATTCCAGAAATTATGAAGACCAGAAGTTGTATGAAAATGACGAAGGACAAGAGGAGGAAGCAATAAGTAAAGACTCATATATTTATACAAAAATCTCAGATGACGTCGACACCAATAATTATCCTTCCCAGGTAATATATGCACTGGATTCTCATTTCTAAATAACATTTTTGTTACTGCTCCAAGGCTTGTTTATTCGGAGACAGTCAACTAAATTTTCGGATCACTTGCTCATGTTTGAACAGCATATATGTGGTATGTATGAGGCAAGTGAAAATTTAAATGACTGGATTAGAATTTATTCTATTTTTCATGTAAGTTGACTTGCTGTTACTGATCACTTACCTCATTCAAACACTTGAACCATTTATTCCAGAGGCAATCATGTAAAACATGAGCGCCTCTAGAATATTAAATATTTTAAAGAAAAGACAGTAAAAATTTGATTTCACCTATAGTGCCTTTGCATATTTGCTTGCTTATATACTTCATCTAATTTACTTACTGTTTAACATCATTATCATTGACAGAGATCAAAGTTGACACAGTTGCCAAAGTATAAAAAAATCCTGACTCCATTTTAAATCAAATAGGCTACATAATTATTGCAAAAGTATTACCATCTCTTTACAACGACTATTTAAATTCTTACGTGACATTTTTAAAATAAAACACACTAATTTTGTTCTAAAAAGAAAAGATTTTATTAAATAGGTAAAAATATAAAACAAGAGGTATTCACTTCAAAATTCAAAATAATAAAGTACAAAAAGTGTCTATACTACGTTCCACGTTTAGAAAATAACATTGCGGAGATAGGGCCATGTATTTCTTATGGACGATAGCAACGCGGCGTATACTGTCGCAACTGTCAAATAAGTGTTACCAATTTATGCCAAAATATCACCTTCATTAGATTACAGTTACAGTGTATTCCGAACAAATGTTCTTGATAAAAACGCTTTATAATGAATTTATACAAATTAAATGAAACATATTATTGTGTATTTCTTTAAGTTAACATTAATAGAAATCTTTAATATTATTTCTAAGCGTATATGATAAAATATGGCTAGTGGCTGTAATGCCAGTGTACTTGGCTAAGTGATTCTAAAAAAGAACACACCTACCGCCCAAATATTTCGTGTTGGTATCATGTGACCTCACGGCCGATGACGCGGATAACATGCAACAGTAAGTAAATTAGATGAAGCATACATATTTTGTCATAGCATTACTCATCAGAGGGACTGGTACATAAGCCCTGGTTTTCGACAACTAAGAAATCTTCAGATTTCTACTTTTTGGTTTTATTAAATATTTTATTTCCATGAAAGTATAAATGTCACTTATGAAAATGCTAAATATACAATTACAGACCCTGAATGAAGGTCTTGTGGGTCAAACTAGAAAAAAATATATAATACAAACACTAATATAATTACTTTGACACATTAAACATTTTGAATAAAAAGATTAGGTTCAACAGTGCAAACAGTACATGTGTACAGATGTTATCATTATTGATATTTATGTATCAGAAAGAAAACTCAAACATATACAAAAAGGAACAAAACATCCCTGTGAAGGGGTTATAAAATTGTTCTCATAAATTGGATTTTTTAATTTTCATTTGAAGGCATTGATGTTCATTGCCTTCACTATGTCTGGGAGAGGTTGTAGTACTTTATTTCTTCTGCCACAATGTTTCATTGGCATTTATTTGTGTTCATTGCTGTAGCTCGAAGGTGGAATCTAGTTCTGATACAAATTTACTACAATTTGGCCATATTATGCAAAAGTGAGTCAACCTACTATTATGTTAATATGAAAAAAATGTCTTTAAAGTTGTCAAGTACTAGATGTATGCATTTTAAGCAGACTTGGCATGTTATGTGCACTCTGTATTGACAAACGTGTAACATTAATGTACACTTACAGCGTTTCACATTAACAAAATAATATAGTTTTGGCACACAACGAAAAAAAATTTAAAATAGCATTGGCTGCGAGAGTTTTAAGTAACCTTATGACATATTGAAATATTTTAATTTTGTTTTTCATGGACGTCATCTGCTGTTAACTGGTTGTACTACACCCAGTAGGATTATTGTACATATATTTATTTATGATACCCATTCCAGGATTCTGGAAACCTGTACCAGCTTGTACATTTCTATTGGATGGATACAATATGTTTTTGGAGTCCCATACAGCCCATATACAGTCTACCTTAATTCTAAAACTTATTTTTCTTTATCTTTTAATATTTATTGTAATATTCCTCATGTATACTCGATCATTTTTTTTTCTGGTTTTTTGTATTAAAGTGCTTTTTTTATAGGTAATTAATAATTCAAAAGAAAGTAGGAAACGTCAAAATGAAGATTTGGAAAATGTAACAAGATCAGAAAGAGAGAGCAAAAACCTAAAACGCAAACATGAAAATTCTGAAGATGGCGTTACAAAATCACAAAGAGTCCACTCAAATGTTGCAAATGAGGACAGGCTCCAAAAGTTTAAACATGAGGATTCTGAAGATGATATTACAACATCACAAAGGGGATATGCAAATGTTGTAGCAACGCACTATAATAAGTTAGAAGAGAAGGGATTAGATGAAAGGTTTAAGTCTCGCATTGTACATTTAAGGAATTTTCATAATTGGATAAAAAGTATGTTGATTAATGAATATTTAACAAAAATTAAGGATGGTAAAAGACATAATGCTCCTGTAAGAGTGCATGACATGTGCTGCGGTAAAGGAGGAGACCTGTTAAAGTGGAAAAAAGGTAAGTGTTATCATCTTTTTTGATAATAGGTATTAAATTTTTTGGTATTTTTCACAAAAACAAATATATGAAAGTTAATTTGTAGATATCAGTTGTCTTTACTGACCTTTGGTATTACATTATTTAGATCATCAAATCATTTCTTGCCATTGTTCTGTTTCTATTTCTTCCATAAGTTCTTTAATCTACTCAGACATCTTCCGTTTGTATAGTTTAACTGATTCTTGTTTTTTTAGTCTTGTTTGTGTCCCTTCGTTTGCTAGATGTGAGAACCTGGAGAAGATAGGGGCAGGACCGAAAAGGTTGGAGGCATATTTTGGAGGAGGCCAAGGCCCGATTTGGGCTGTAGCACCATTGGAGAGAGAGGTTGTGTAGCTTCAAGATTTTTTCACTTTTTTAACCTTTTTCTGAAAAACGGGCAATAGAATATGCAGTCCATTTAAGACGACAAAGGGACTACTACAGGGTTGCTCCACATCTCCCACCCTGTTCAAAATATCCTGGAAAAAACCCTGAAACCATGGAAAAGAAAGTGCAAAGGAATGGGTATACTAGTAAGGAACAAATATCTATATACGCTAAGTTTTGCTGACGACCAAATAGTGATCGCACAAGACGAGGATGACCTCAGGTTTATGATGAGAAAACTGGAGCATTAATATACAAAGAATGGGATGGAAATAAACCTAAAGAAAACTGAATACCTAACAACCGAGAATACAGAAATAAAACAGCTGGAAATAGACGAAGGTAAACAAATCAAATGAACAGACAAGTATAAGTATTTAGGTTTAATAATATCAAACAAAGGAACAACGGAGGAAGATATAAAAAATAGACTAGGACAAACAAGAGACTGCAAACGAAAATTGAAGCCGGTACTATGGGATAAGAACATCAGCATGAAAACAAAGAAAAATATATATAATACCATGACAAGAAGTATCCTCACTTATGGGTGTAAAAATTGGACAATAAATAAGAAAACCAAAAACAAAATAAGAGGAACAGAGATGGAATTCCTAAGGAGAAGCTGCAGAGTAACAAGAAGAGATAAAATAAATAAAATGGAGATTAATAGGAGAATGGGAATGAACTCCAACATAGAAGAGGTTAACCTGGTACGGACATGTCAGAAGAAACCTACAGGAAGGGGACTGGCTAAACAGGAAAAATTGGAGAAAACGGTTGAGTGAAGGAATACAGTGAAAACTGCAAATCCTTGTATATATATATATACATATATATATATATATATATATATATATATATATATATATATATATATATATATATATATATGTATATAACCTTTTTCTTTGTGTATGTCCAATGGTTTGTCCTACTACTTGTATTGTACTACTTTCAATGTTATTCCAATCATTTTCTACTATGTCTTTTGTTTTAAGTATTAATAACTTTCAAGTTTCTTTTCTGTTTCTCTTTAACCTGGAAGCAGCCATGTTATTTTATGTGCCTTTGTATTTTTCGAATTTTTGTGCTGAAAATCTAGGTATTTGTCACAAAAGGTAAGTTGCATATTTGTGTCCAGATATGAATATACAAAAAACAACTACAAAATAACCCTACCATTGTTGTTTTGCGGACTTCAAAATGCAAGAAAATAATAAAGAAATTTGTAAGCTGCAATATTTTCTCAACGCAAAAATTGATGTCGAAGCTCCAAGACTAAAAAGAAAGTACAATGTACCAGATGCCAAAGATACAGTTACAAAACAAATTTCTGCTATCATTAATACAGGTGTGAAAAATGTGCTCTAAGTCACCCAACGAATTGCAGAGGATGCAGTGTACATAAACAACTGTAGGAAGCAAGATTTCCAACCTTAAGAAAGAGTCACTGAATCAACTACAAAATCAACAGCTACCAGTGGCTACAACAAATATAAGTACAACACAAAGATCTACATATGCTCAAATGGTAAATATGTACCAATCAACAAGAAATTTCAATGGTCACACAGACAAATGACATACAGGAGTTAGAGAATATGCTGAAAGGGCTTATGGAACAGATGAGCACCATGCTAAACTTAATCACAACACTTGTCTCAAAAATGAACTAATGACCAATAAACAACTGTCACAACACAAACATGAGTTGCATGTATTCATAATTAATCATAAATTAGGCATAATACTGATTTCATAAAACACACTTCACAAAAAAATACATGCTACTGGAGATGGTGAGAGGGATAAAGTTCTTAGTAGATTTCACCTTATCTCTGACAACTTAACAAGGCTCAAGGTCAATAGATGGAATTATGGTTGTAAATCTTTTATTAACCTGTTTGTCCATTTTGAATAATATGATGATCTTTAGATTGAAAAGTGAATGTGATGGGTAAGTTCTTGAAGATTCATACATTATAGGTGACCATAAAACATCAGTTTCCATTTTCTCATGGTGATAAGAATGTCTTCTAAGTGTCCATATAACTCATGATTGTATCTTCTGCGGAAAACTTCATTTTTTTATTGGTCTTAAGATTTTTGTCAAAATTTTCTCATCTTTTAATTCAAGTTTGATGCATATTGGGCTGACAGCCTGATCACTGTATTATAGTGACAGACTTTTAAGTTTAAAGATAGGCTTCTGCTTTTGTACAGGTATTTGCACACATGGAATACACCTAATTTTGAACATCTACTTTCAATGGCAGCATTCTCTGAACCATCAGGTGTGACCAAGGTACTTAAAATGTTTGAAGATTTTTCTTGTATTTTCAGCAAAGGGTGCATTCTTGGTTCTATATTTATTATTTTTTATAGTTTTTATAATGTCTATTACGATTTTTAGGAGGAATTTCCCATCTAATATGCAGTGATATTGCTGAAGTTTCTCTTGACCAATGTAAGGCCAGATACACAGACATGAAAAAAAGATCTGCTAGAGATAGGGGACCGAATTTATACTCTATCGAGTATATAGCCGGAGATTGTTCAAGACTAAGACTGCGTGAAAAATACTCAGATCCTTCGATGAGTTTAGACTTAGTAAGTTGTCAATTTGCCTTCCACTACAGTTTTGAAAGTCTTTCCCAGGCTGAGTGTATGTTTCGCAATGCTGCTGAATGTCTGCAACCAGGTAATTATTAGTTGTTGTTAATTACTATTATTATATGGAATTAAAAATTCTGATAACTGTATATGGCGACCTAAGTGACCATCTAGCTGTAAGTTTTTCGGTTCCTTCTGGATCTTTTTTCAATTATGGAATTCGTCATTTACTCCTCCTGAGTGTATAGACTGAAATGTATCGTTACATTTCAACAAGTATAAAAGTTTACCAAGTTTTAGCAGTAATGTAGATAGATATATTATTTTTATAGTAACATATTTTAACTTTTAGGTGGATATTTTATTGGAACTATACCCGATGCCTACGAGATTGTAACCAGAGCCAAAAAATGTAACAATAAAAGCTTTGGAAACAAGGTTTATGAAGTTTCGATTGATTTCGATATTAATAAACCTCCTCTATTTGGTGCTAAATACAACTTTCAATTAGATGGTGTTGTCAATTGTCCAGAATTTCTTGTGTATTTTCCGATACTGGTGAAATTGGCAAAAAAATTTGGTCTGAAGCTTGTCAGAACAGAGAAATTTTACGACTTTTTTGAAAGGATGAAAGAAGAAGGGAAATATCTGTTAACGAACATGAGAAGTTTAGAAGCTTATCCGGCACCAGAGTCGGTACAATTAGTTGGTACAGATGTTTCTGACTACATACATGCTGAAACGTTTATTAAACAGGAACAGAGTGGAAATCTAAAAGTTGGAACTCTCTCAAAATCTGAATGGGAGGTTTCATGTAAGTAGTTTTTTAGTATTTAGTCTTGGGTCATATCAACATCAATCCCTGTTACTGACATGTCTTGCCAAAGTGTCTTACCTCAAGTTTTCTTTGGACTTTCCCTACCATTCCCAGGAACTTTCAAATCGACAATTCTAACCATCTTAATGTAGGCACTTACATTTTCGTATAAATTAGTGCCACTACATTTGCCTCCATTTCTTCATTTTTTGTTACTCCACTCATCCATCTAAACATTCTATTTTCCATCACATGCATTACTTCTTCCTCTTTTTTTTTATCTGCCCAACGTTCAGTTCCATACATGATAACAGGACTTGTATCATATAATAAACTTGGTTGGCAAAAAGGGTACTATCCAGAAGTTGGGTACTATTTTGGGCAACGTAAAAATTAATCCAATGGGACATTGTCTTTGTTTGGAAATTAAACGAAGAAACCAAGGTTTAAAGACGCCCACAATGCTATTGGCTCTCAGATGTTGGCACCTCGCCAACCTAACTCTTAGTTCCAATTTTAAATCCCTTGTACATAGCACTCTTCTCATTTTATTGAAATTTGCTCTAGCCTTTTCTATTTTAATTTTGATCTCCTGACATTTATCACTTTTTCTGTAATTTTGGAATTAATTTTCATTTTCTTTCATTTTTATAGAACTAATTTTATATTCACACCTAGTACTTATAAAATAGCTAAACAAAAATATGATTGCAAAGATATTATTTGGAAAATGCCAAATAATATCTTATTTTTAATTAAAAGACTTAATTTTTCGCACATTTTAATCTTAATTCGCTACAGGAGTAATAATTTGTAATTTTTAATGGTTTTCAGCACTGTACACAACGTTTGTGTTTGAAAAAGTGAAAAATACATGGAATGCAGATGGAACTCCACTATATGATATTTGACAGGACTTACTTTAATTTATCTTTTTATAATAATTGGTGGAGTCGATCAGTTCGTTGTAATATTATATATTTTACAAATAAATAAATATACAGATATTAAAATTGTTTATTTTTTTCGGTTAGTATCGTATCATTCTGGACAGGCTGTTTCTGTAAAATATGTAATTCGAGAATGTAATGTAAATATTGAGGAATGTAATAAATGCAAGGATCGTACTTAGCCGCAGGTGAAAATCTTATGGCATTAAACTAGTACTTTTATTGCAAGGTGGATTAAGTAGTAAATAATATTTTTTGTTAAATTGGTAACAGCAGAAATTGGTAATAAATTTTCCAGCTTCCTTTTCTGATTGAGAGTAATTTGTAATACTTGTTCCTTTTTCGTATATCTTGGCATTTCTGAAACATTTTAATAAAAAAATAAATAATCCAAAACAATCAAAATAAACAAAATAATGCATAGCGCTGTGAAATAATGTCAAATACTGACCTGAATCACAGCATAAATACAAATAGATTGTTCCTTATGCTGTGCCTGAACGGCGACTATCATTTCACTCTTTTACACTTCGAAAGGATCGCCAAGATGGATGAAGTATCAAGTTTTACGTAAAATGTTCGTAATTGATTGGCTTTAGAAACCCAATATTTTAAATATCAACGAATCAAACGTAGGTTAGGAATAGACCACTTATGTATGTAAAGCTGCAATATGTTTGTGTTATATATCACGGAACTACCGCTTTTTTCGTCACATCCACCTTAATGCGTTAGAAAGAAATCGAAAAACTGTGACGTACTGAAAGAAGGCTCCGAGAAGAACTTTACTATATAACAAAAACTGTGGACCCAACAAATGCCATAAGCCCGTATGTTTTTCTCGTACGCTGCTGGTTGCGCTTAAGTGTATGATACAAAAACGCTCCTAGAGTCGCATTAAGTCTATTAAATCGCATGATTGTATTGTAACGAAAATATTTTACCTACCTCATGGGTATTACTATGGAGGGTTGAAAATTAGGGACAGAAGTTATTGGGGTGGAGATAGGACAAGCAAAATAATCGATACTTGTGCGAACGGCACTCAGGGTTTGTTTGGAGAGCTGGGGTCGTGGAAAAGTAAATGGCAAGGGGGTTGGATTGGGGCAACTACAAAAAGTGAAACAAAAAGGGTACTAACATGAATCTCTTTTTGCTAAATTGCTACTATTAACTGCTACTAAACTTATTTTCCATAACGTAAGACGAAGAACAAAAGTATATTACAAATTTGATGAAAAATTTGGACCCATGCTAAAATCGACTGCCTCTTGCAGTGACTTTAGCGAGAATCAGCAATTATCTTTAAAATTCATTCTTATAAGTTGGAATAATCAAAACACTTAATGGGGATATTTATTTAAAACGCAGTATCGGGTGGTTTCACGATCAAAGAATATCGAAAGATATTCTTTGAAGAAGAAATATCGAAGAATTTGCGCCTGTGACATAAACAAACAATAAAATGATTTATTATCGACTTGGCGACATAAAAAGAACGAAATATTATTTGGCTAACTTAAAAGATAGGAACTGAGGAACATACAAAAAATTCTTCGTTATTATAGGTAATACATATAAGGGTATTTCAATTTAATACATATACGAGGAGATTCCAATATATACCAAGGAATCAATGAATTTTCAAATGCTACAGTATTTGCAAGACAACCACCTGGTTTGAAAGTGTTACAGTGAATTGTGTACTTTAATTTTTTTTATAGATTTTTTACAACTTTTAGTAACAATTCATGTAACATGATTATAGTTTCATTTGTGCTAAATTTCAATATTAATTTCTGCAAAATATTTTGAATTTATTTTTACCATAACACTTCTATCATCTATCGGAGCAGTTAATACTCTTAATTCTGTGTTAGTATTAATTCTCGGCTTTTCATTTTCGAATTCACATGTATTTGAACCAACTAAGGCGTTATAAGTATTTTAGAGATATAGTTCCTTTTGTGGATAAGTTTTGTTTTTTGTCTTGAGGTAAATGCGCCTAGGCCTTCTAGTTGCCTAAATGTATTTTACTGGCTACCAGTAAATTTTTGATGTTGAGATATTTTTAGAATACATATTTTATCCTATAATTTTATGGTTTATTTCTGGTATTCCTGTATTGAGGATGTTACATAGGACTTGAGTTTGGGTGATTTCAAGAAGTGATATCTTGTTTGGTTTGAAAAAATTGTTTCATGATTTGAGAAAATTGTATATGGTTGACTGTGACGACCATGGAAAGGTTTAATTAAGTTAAGTATAACATAAATGTATTAATTCTAGAGTCAATTTGGTTTTAAAATAAAAAGAAAGTTAGAAGGAAGAGGTTCTGAGTAAGTCTGTGTGCACAACATCCCCCACAACGGTCCCAAAAAGTAGAGATGAAGGCCCAAGTAGACCTGGAGAACTCAGAAGCAATAAAAAAAAGTCGAAATAATTAATGAAATAATGTCAAGTGAGGATATGGAAACAAAACAACGGGATGTGGCAGTCTTCTTTACAAAAAATGAAGAGGATAAGAAGGCCATGCAAAAAGTTAGGGGCATATTCCCAGATTTGCCAACTCCAGAAGTGTATGAGGAGGGTGTTTTGGAGACCACAATATTCACAATCTCTGTCCATAAGGATGGGTAATGGATAAATAAAGAGAAGACAAATTTAAGCTTCTCATAAATAGAAAGGAAGAACCAGAAACCATGAAGTTCCTTAAGGCCAGTAGAAAGCTAGTACCAAAAATGCAAGAGCTGTTAAGAAACTCTGTACGCTGTTATATAAAAAATTTTTGTTCATTTAGTTAATAACAACAAAATATTGGGGAATACTTATTACTTCCTACTCATAGCAAAGTCAATGCAGATAGGAGAAATAAATAAAGCTGGGTAAATATTAGACATGTTAAGTATGCCTGTTAAAATGTTTATACCAACTACATTAGTTGTCAAAAATAATTTTTTTTTGAAAAATTCATTTATTTATTTATATGTACATACAAAATTTAAAAGTAATTCATCTTATTCTAATTAAGCAGAAATTTCTTGACTCTGTCCATACTTCAAAATGCTGGGATTCTGTTTAACTTGTGCAATGTATTCTTCTGCCAAAACGCAAGCTTGCTCAATTTCATAATTATGAGATACCAAAGCTACCCATTTAGTTTCTAAAGCCTTAAGTTGATCGCCACCTTTAGTTTGTAGTGATTTTCTCTGCCAATTCACTTCTTGTAACTGTTGTCTTAGGTCTGCCAATTTTTTTGAAGACATCTTTTCTAAATCGCTTAAAGTTTGTAAATATCTCTGCCATGCTGGACAACAGTAGTCTAACATAAGTTGTAGGTTTAAAATTCTAACAGCTTGATGTTCTAGCTGAGCTTGTGAGTTGTCTACACATTCATTCCAGGCACCCACTTCATTAAGTTTTCCACTTGGAGGTGGTGGAAGTTCATAACGTTTCATAGACAAGGTTTCCATAGGTAATCGATTTTGCAACCTTTCAAACTCATTGTGCATAATAGGAGTTTCAAAAGATGATATGTTAAGTGGAGGAAGATGTTCCAGATAGTTTTTGGTTGGCCGAAATCTTCTACACTCTTCTTCTACCATTGCAAAAGCCTACAACATATTTAAAATTACAATGATTAGTGTTTGTTGAAATACTCTCCATTATATAACAAAATAATTAAATTCATACCGCTTCTCTAACTCCTGGCTCATCATAACCTTGATCTATATAAGGTAAAGCATCGACTACTACTTCCCCAGCCATTATTACAATCTTAAAATAAAACAAAGCAAATATTTGTTCCGAATTTATTTAAATCTTCAGATATTCAAATTAGAAAACAAAACATAGCCTATTTCTTCTTTTTTAACAACTGTCCATGTCCATCCATAGCCGATTGTCCATCAAATTCTTCTCAATATTGGCATTGGTAGGAATGGAAGACGTTACTGTTTCTTAACCAGCGCTTTTTTTGGAAGCATTTACTCTAAACCATAAATGCGTTTATTCTGAAGCAACTAGAAAAATAAGATTCCAAGCTAAAAATTTAAAGTAAAAATTTTGAAAAATAAAAAACACTTGATTTGTTTGACATTACATTTGATGTACTTATATTTCCCATCACGTGACTAATTAGTATATAAAAACTTTTTCATAATCAGAATCAGTCGTTAAGTACCTAAATAAATAATAAAAATCTGAACGGCGCGCCGCAGCATTGATTAATAAAAAATTACTGTTATGTCAATCACAGACAACAGTATGTCATGTCACAAATGCAAAAATGCATATGGCTTCTTCTGACAAGTGTTATGTGTAAAATGTCAGATGTTTCTGAAGAGAAGTGAAATCGACATAATTCCTATTATTTAATATTTAGATTATTTATCGTATTAATACAGTCCATTCCAAGTTAACAATAGAGTGTTTAATTTGTCGAGTAATTAGTTCAAAGGTGTGTTCGTCAAGCTCACCTGAGGAATGCAAATTTTTTTGTTTACAAACGGCTCTTTTACCAAATGGATCGTGTAGAAATTAGGATCTCTTGAGTGATGTTTGTTGACTGTAATAAAAGTGATTTAATTTTTTCGGTAAATATTTCTTAAGAAAAATCCATTTTGTTGACACCTTTGGGTGAAAGGCCATCGAACTAGTGCTCTACCTACCTTCAGATATGGCCTTTAATGAGGTAAGTAATAATTTATGATTTCCTAGATGCGTGTCATTCATTTTATGTACATACCATTTAGTTACTGTAACCTTTTCTGTATTTAACTTGATCTTGTTCTATTAAGTATGCCCTACTTTAATGTTTTTGTACATTTACATATATGTATTACATTCTCCAAAGTAATTAAATATTAGGATCATGCCAGTTAATAAGGCGGGATTTATATAATACATGTTTGGAAGTTTGTCTAGGTTAAAATCATAAAAGAAAAGTATAGAACATTACAATATTTTGCATTGATAGATTTGGTAATGACAATAATTAAATTGTTATGGTCATAGTACTTATTTAATACAACTAAAACTAAAGTATAGTACAATACAAACAAAACTGTTGGCATTTAAAGAAAGCTGTAACTGTATTGTACCTTATTTGCTTAGCTATATTACTTTAAAAGTTTGTGAAGCCAATATTAAATTGTTATAGTCAAAGTATTTAATACAACTAAAGTGCATAGTACAATACAAACAAAATAAAATATGTTGACATTTGAAGAACTGACTGTATTTTACTATATTTTCTAAATATAACTATTTGCTTTTATACTTTATGCTTTTTATGTATATATTTTTATTATTATCATACTTGATAATGATAAAACCATTTCTATTGTCATCATAAGTGGTTTAGACTAGAGATAAGTCTATATCAGTTTATAAATTTTATGTTAAACAAACTTCTTTAACTTTAATTTTATATATTAGGTGAAACACTTCACTTTGGGAAGTTTATACCAAATATATCAATATTAGCATTCTTAATGCTTGGCATACTTTAAATTTACAGTTTAAATTAATCTTTCCACATTATTGTGCTCCTTCACTTTGTTTGACATGTTCTTCCTTACTTCTATATTCTTCTATTTGAACTACATTTCTTCTAGCTATTCCTTTTTCAACCATACATGATATATTTAGGTTTAATTGTAGTAAGTCCCTCCAGAGTTAAATCTTTGTAGAAATGTCTCTGGCAGTGTGTCTATATTTTGAATTTGAATATGTTCCAACCAAAAAAGTTTGGAATGCAAAATCAGCGTTAGAGACTCACCCTTTTCTGTTTTATGCTGAATGTCTTGAAAAATATCATGTACTAACCCAAAAATGGATACAATTAAAATTGTTTCCAATTGAATTACCCATTAAAAGTTGTTTGTCCAATTGGTAAAAAACCAATTTTCCAGCACACAAAAATCAAAATTTATTGTTTACTTTGTATGTATTATTAACTTTTGTTTAGTGCACAGCCATTTTTATTCAATTCCTTACAAGCCATTGATTATTGGTTAATAAAAACATGTTTAAGGAGTGTTTTAGGAGAATGTTAAAATGTATTTGTAATTCTAAGGTCACCCATATGTTATGCAAGATTGCAATAAATCAGCTTTGATAGTTTTTAATAACCAATGGTTGTTTAATATAAACATTTCATTCTCCAACCTTCATGCTTATTGTTTTTTGAGGGTAACAATTATATCAGAACAAAATATATTTTAATACCTTTAGAGGTTTTTTGTTTATTTTATATATCAAAAATGGAAAATACAAGTCACATATCTTCTTATATAGAAGTCTGTGAAGTTAAAAACAATGGGGATTTGCTCATATATACACTTATATACTAATGTTAATTCTAATTTCATTTTTAAAGTAAGTATGTGTAAAGTAATTCAACTTTACTACTTCTAACATTGTTGCCATTTTTTTAGTATCTTACTCTCACATAGAAAGATTTTGTAATCTTTAGTTTACTTAGTGTAATTCCGTGCTGACTATAGCTGTGTTTGAAGCTGTTTAGATTTAAGCAGAGCTACTAGTATATATTTAATACCATTGACAATCAATATTCTTAGTGATTGGTAAAAATTGGATTTTGGATTTCAAAGAAGGTAAATTTTCTATTGATTATGAGGACTGCTACATTGCTTCAGTTTTTTGTAAGAGTTGTTAAAGTCAATTAGTAATTACTTATGGTTAATTTTTTGTTCAAGGGTAGAACAGTCATTGAGAATTACTGTTAGACTTTACTGACCATTCTATGACAAAAAATTATGAATGGGAGATGCAGAAAGTTTTTGTGAAGTGTATTTTGTTTTTGTGAGAAAATGCCCTGCACAAATCGCATGTTGCCATTTGTCATGCAAATAATTTTCAATTATTGTTTGAATTACTTTTAATATGAGAAGATCATGTTGAATGTTAGGTCTTCTGAGTGATGATAATCTTAAATTTGTTTGCCCTAATTTTTCAGTAGGCATTTTCATTTATACAAAATATGAATGATGTCTTTGAGTATTATTGAGTATCTGTCCAAAGGGTTCTTTAAGCCGATCAAACAAAGATATTACTGCTCTATTATACTTCAATGTTTTTCCATATAAAGAAACCTACATCTGTATATTATCTGCTCATGCAAAAACCTTGTTGCTCATCTGCATAGTTTATCCTCTGATTTATTTATTCGAACTAATTGTAATCAATCTTTAAAGCCTACGACATGAAATTTCAATTTTGAGTTATGGTAACAAATACAGGCATATGAAATATGAATAAAAATGTAGAATTTAATGTTTTACATTACAAACGATCACATGTCATGGAAAATGAATTTAAAAGTACTGTTTTGGGTTTAGATTATTGCACCAGTTTTGTTCTTTTGAAAAACGTACTAGTGTAATTGAAAAAAAGTTTTTAAAGGTTTTGGATCATTTATTGTGTGAAAGTTTAAATCCAACATTTTATAAGCATATTTCAAATGCCTCACATTTGTTGTTAAAACCCAAAACTAAAACTTCATGCTATAGCTTTAAAGGTTAGGACTCTAGTAATCAAAAATTCATAGTGATCTGTCAATGAAAGGAATATATTGTATTGATCTCGTGAGAATCATAAAAAATGGCAAAAATCATGCCTTATTTATTTAACACTTGTATAAAATTTGAGTTTATTTGTTGCAAATACAAAAACTGCATACAAAAGCTAAGCTCTTTACCTTTAAAAAGCATCTTGATTTTTGTTGATAGGTCACTTGAATCAAAAGATATCTAATTTTTACCAGTGTGCTGATACAACTTTTATCGAATATTGATTTCGTATTTCAAATTAGATTAATTCAAGACAAAGTCATGTCAATGATTGAACTACAAACGATACCCTGTATACAGATTCACATCGTCATATATAAGATTCACATTGTTATTAATGTAAAGTTCAATACATACAATTTTGAAAGTATCTAGTTTTTATAGTGAATTCTATAGATTTTTCAACTGTTTTAGTCCTTAAATGTCTGAATCGGCTACTATTAGGAGAAAAATTTTATAATAATAATGGTGTAAAGCCGATTTTTAATAGATAATTGCATAATCCACAATTTATATGGATATATTTTTATCATATTTTTTGTTTTGCTGAAAAACGCAAAAACTGATATTTGCAACTTTTGATCATAAATAAAATATTTTGCAGATGTGGGATTGACAGGGACTCTTTACATCACATTTATAATGATATCACGAACACTCATACCAATTTTTAGCTCTCTGCGAATTTTTGTAACTTTAAATGTCTATCCTTATTGGACTATGTTTTTTAGGGTTTTCTTAACTTGAACCAGACTTAACTATTTACTTTCCACGATAATTCATTTGAACCTCTTAAGTAGTACAGTTAAGTACATACCTAGTAATATAGTTTTTTCATTATTTTATTTAGTATTATAATTTTTTCCTTGTGGAAAGTTCATTTTCTGTAAATTACGTAGACATTATTGCAGAGCCTATCACAAATAAATGTAAAAGAATAGCAATTAGCATAGACACTTTTATTTAGATAGAATCCACACCAACAAAACATGACTGCTCAACATCAGCAATAATGTGGCGTGTTTATAACAAATTATATGTAATTTCGCAAGTGGTTAGAGGAAAAACTTGATTCATCATATATCTATAATATCTATATATGAAATATCACCTTATCTATATAAATAAACCTCCTAATTCTTCTCTGTATTATTTTTCACCTTATCATTGTTTATAGTTTTAATCTACTGATAACATAGTGAGGAATATGTGATAATCATGAATTTAATCTCCTTCTGATTTCAGTTATCTACATATGTTTTACAAGAAGTTTTAAGTGATTCAGTACTTACTACTTTGGAAGCTTTTTAGTTTAAAATTTCCAATTATATATTATACCTGGTGATTTGTGTGATTCTAAATAATTGTGAAAAGTGCATGAATTATTTAATTACTTTACTACAAGAATAAATAGTAAAACTACACTTCCTCAGAATAAATAGTAAGATATTTCTTCTATAAATAACAGACCAAGTAGCACATTTCTCTCATTCTTTATTTTTTTGTCACATTCACTACTATTTTCTCTTACACTGTTTCTTATTTTATCCATTTCTACCATATGAAGTTATTTCTTTCATGATTATGAAAAAAAAAACTGTTTTGTTCTTTTTTGTGAATAGTAACTCTTAGGTAATTAAACTGTACTAAAAAAGTTAACAAAACACTTTTATTTATTAAAAAAGTATAATTTTTACAAAGTAGGGATAAATTTAATATTTTGTGTGTCCTCCTTTGGCTGCTAAAAGAGCTTGAACGCGTCGAGGCACGCTCTCGATACAGGCTTGAATAGTTTCCTGGAGGTGAGGATTATGATTCCACTCATATGAGCGTTTCAAGTAACTCCCTTTTATTAGTAATGTTTTTTTTTTCGCAATCTCCCTTTTCAGTGGTTCCCACCCATTCTCAATAGCGTTCATATCAGACGAGTTGCCTTACCAGTCAAGAACATTATTTTTTTTTGTTTTAAGTAAGTTGAAATACTCTTAGCCTTGTGGCACAGAGCACCATCGTGCATAACTATGGGTTCTTCTTCTCCAGGAATCCATTCCTGTAGCTGCTGCAAAAGTCTTGTCTCGAGTACTTTCCGGTACTGGTCTTGTCTCATCGTGTTTCCACCACGTAGAGATGACCCGTACCTTTGCCGGATGCCACAGACCAGACCATGAGTGATGGTGGGTGTTTGATGATGGGCACAATGCAGTCGGGCTTGTATTTCTCGTTGGGACGTCTTTGAACAAACTTCGTTTTTTCTTTATAACATGAAAAACGGATTCGTCCGAGAACCAGACCTGAAATCAACAAATTTTTTAGAAATTCTCATGTTTTTTAGTTTTTAATATTGATATTCAAGCAAAAAGACACAAATATACCTTTTTCCAGTCTTCCACTGTCTAGTTTTTGTAGACAAATTCCTTCATTTCTTATCTATTGTGTAAGCGTTCTCATTGGTTTCTTTCTGTTTACTAGGCAATTATCTCTTATTTTGCGATCAGTCCTAGGAGTATTCACACGATGTCTTCCGCTGTGACCTTTACACTTTGGATCCAAACTGACTCCAGGCGCAATTTTCTGTTTTATATTCCTTACAGAACTTCTTGATACTCCTAACATTGGTGCTATATCATTTTGAGACATTTGTCCAGCTTTTAGGAGTTCAAATACCTGGCCTACTCGTTTTGGTGACAAATCAGCGTTTTTTCCCATCTAAAAATGTGTAATACCCTTAATTATACCAATATCTTCACTGTATATGTTTATAATCTAAAACATCAAAAACGTTTAGAATTCAAAGTTCACAGACAGTATTTGAGCTTATAAAATGCACACTAGTTGACAGGACGCAATGCTGTCTGGAAATGGTGGATAGGGCGGTGTTGCGAACGTTCTTCTTTAAGTTCCATCTTCTATCGAAGCTTGGTAATCATCATGGCTATGCGGATTCTGTTGACTGCCGCTCTAAAAATTTCTGCACTACTGCATTCAAACCATTTCCTTTAGTTCTGAAGCCAGGATATTGTTCGTCTTCCCACATTCCGCTTTCCTCGCATTTTGCCTTACATAATAAGTTGTAGTAATGCGTATTTTTGCCCTCCCATCACATGTAATAATTACTCAAGTTTTCGTCTTTTGATAGTTAATATTATTTCTGCCTCATTTCCTATCCTAGTTACTTCCACGTTTGACATTATTTGAATCCATGATATTCGTAGAATTCTTCTGTGACACCAAAAATTCTAAGGCCGTCAACTTATTCAGATGGACTTGTTTTAGTGTCCACGCTTCCAAGCCATAAAGAAGAGTAGAGAACACGTAACATCGAATCATTCTCAGGCGTAGTTCTAACCTTATATCCCGACAACAAAGAAACTTTTAAGTTTAATGAACGATGCACGTGCTATTTCAATACGTGTCTTAATTTCTTTGATTTGGTCTACATCTGATGTTATCCATGTTCCTAAGTATTTATAGTTATTAACACTCCCAATTGCAGTATCTTCAATAGTCAATTGGATATGTGCATGTGCAGATTTAATCATGATCATGTATTTAGTTTTAATGAGAGTGTAGAGACAGCATTAATACTCGATCAGAGTAGGGAACAAAGTTACAAACAGCTTTCTGAGAATTCTTATCAACTATAATGCCAACTCCCTATTTGTGCTTGGAGTTCGTTGTTAATACTATATTAAACACGTTGCTATGCGAAAAAGTACTAACAATCCCGTTGTTAATTTTACCAGGTACTGTATATTAAAATCTTTTATTGGAGCAATTCTTCTCATTTTCTATATTTCATAAGTCTTAAATTAGATATTTATACTTTTGTTTTTTCTTATTGTATACATATGTGTCTATCCACTCTTTCCTAATGCAGATCTGCTACTAAAATTAATAATCGATATCACTTATTATATTTCCACGTTGATTGTTTTCTATATTTAACTTTCCAAAATAATGTAAAACCGATTTAATAAATGAGTCCGAAATAGTTATTTAAGTAATCATTAATTACATAATAGCTATTTAACAATTCATACAGTTCTCTCAATCAAATATTAATTAATTGCTACCCCGATTGATGTACATTTCTTGTCAAATTGTCGAAGTATTTATCCACCTACATATCTAAGCGATAGTGTATTTTTAATTTAATCCATAAAAGGCCGTGCTATCAATTCGATTTTTTACAGTTATCCATAGACAATAAGTGGAACCGTGGTGAATATTTATTTCATCAATTTGAATTGCGGCCAGTACGCTTGAAAAATATTTTGAAGTGTCACAGACTTGCGTTTTTATCGAAATCCCTCGTAGTGCCACCTCAGTAATATAATTAAACAGCGATTTATTAATATTGCAAATAAACTTTGTGTTGGTAATGAAAATTTATTCAAATTATTGCGTTTGACTTCTTCGGCGTGAGTGAGAATCGCGTCGATTGTGCCAGAACAACAAACCGATGTGTTGATAATTTATCGATAATGTTTCAAAAAGCTGCGAATTTCGGATCTGACGATGGCAAATATGGGCAAAGAGACTTTTTTAGGAGTAATGGCAAAACTCTAGCCAGGCCTTCGTCGTGGTCCTTCAATGGAATGTTGGATTTGTCCTTACGAGGAAATAGCATAAACAGGGCAATTCAAAAAGTAAGTTTTCGTATTTCTATATTGCAAATTATTTGCCTGTAAAAGTAATTTTTGTTATAATGTCCATTCTATATTAGAACTCTTATTTCTTGAATGACAATTTTAATAGCAACAGATGCAATTTTCATTATAAAGCAATGGTAGATAAATATTTGAATAAATAAGTAAACATGTATATGTATTTATCGATCTTGAGAAAGCGAATGCTAGAGTATAACGGACGTTTTTATGGTAGACACTGAATGAGAAATGATCTCTCCGTAATTGTGCGAAAATTGTTACGAATATACTAGCCCCCCCCATATCAGTTCGCCCAACGTTAGATTGATAAGAATATTAAATTTAAGAGAACAAAAATAAAAGTGTAGCGTACATTTTAGAAGTTTTAATGCATCAAACAACATTTTTGAATTTCCTAATTATACAAAATATTTTATAACGTAATGAAAACTATTTTTTTATTTACAAACTCGCAGCAGCCTGTAAGGCTATTAGCGAAAAAGGAAAAAGTATTAACAATAATTGAATAACGTAACAATTAAATTTTGTATAAATAGTTTATTGCTTTTAGATATTGGATAATCACTTTGGCAACGCACTTTAAGAACAGTTCTCTCAAATTCTCCGGGATTCCGAATTTACATCTTTCCGCACTGTGTAACGGGCACTCCACTAGAAGTTGTTTTACTGTTAGCGAGGTCTCGCAAGCATAACACTCCGGTTAGGAATCCTTTGTGATCAGATGTCCATGCGTAAGGCGACTATAACCAAGCCGCAGTCGTGTGGTGATGATAACATGAGAAAAACGATTGATGGAACTATCAGACCATGGTTGAAATATTGGTCACTATTTTCTACTGTCTCCAATACACACTTCAAATCTGGACCCATCAGTTCATTATATAGGAATCCTATTGCGACTGAGTCCACTCTTTATGATCTTTTGACCATCTTAGTCTATTTTTCTTTTGTCGTAATGTTAAAAGTGGCTTTTCCTTAGCCTGAAATAAAATGAAATTTATTAAAAACAATTCGTACTAATTTTTTCAACTATAAAATTTATTTTGTAAGTACCAAATCCTAATTTGTAGGCCTCTCGGTGACATGTTGATCTAGAAACGTGTCTTCCAATAACGTCACTCCATAAAACGCCTAACTCCATATAATTTGCTCGTCAATTTCAACATTTCTAGGTTTTGTGACGACCGAACCTGTAGTTTTGTATTTTCTGGCTATATTTCTTACACTATAGCGTGACAATTGCAACATATTCGCGATTTCCCGAATTGGATTTTCCAGAATTAAAAAATCTAATAATGATTCAACAAATTTTCTCATCGATAAGTTTACCTCGACCCATTATACAATCCACAAACGGCAAAAAGCTTTACAATACTACAAAATACATTTCACATTAACTGACAATATTATTGTTTGGTGTCATTTCAAATTTTGGTGATGTGAAAATATCAACAACGTATGTTGATATAAGTGAATGCATAGCCAGGGGTTAATGATTTTTGTATTGTTGAAAATAAATAAAAAAAATCATAAGGGTAATGATTTTAATATCCTTGAATACCTGGGTCATTTGATGAGAGGGAAAAAGTACCGATTGCTCCAGTTAATTATCCAAGGAAAGATTCAGGGCAAACGAAGCGTGGAGAGACGACGTAATCTTGGCTGCGCAATTTAAGAGACTGGTTCCAGTGCACATCTAACCAATTATTTAAAGCAATAGCTTCAAAGATACGAATAGCAATGATGATTGCCAAACTCGGTAGCGAAGAGGGCACTTGAAGAAGAAGAATGATTTTAATAAATATTATTAAAAATGCCATATTATTAATAGGGGAAAAAACATGCAGAGTATAATTTGATTATGGCAATCGACTTAAACTGCAAATTCCATCGGTGGGCCAACTTAAGAGTCCTAACCATTATTGTTAATCACGTTTCAAAGAAAGATAATTTTAATAATAATTATAAGAAATGGCGATTACGGCTCAGAAATATATCAAAGAAATTGTCAAGTAAAAATTCTTCAGTACGGTAAAATTCTATAAATATAGATTATTTTTTGTAACAGGAACTAACAACCGACATTCATAAATAAAAAAGAGGCCCCGACAAACGATAAAGATATTAAAAATTAAAATTCATGAGCAACCCAGTGAAATATCTTGACGATTCGGTTACTTACGGTGCTGTGAGTAATGCCATAATCTAGCCAGCCCGACAGCAAAAGAAAATATCAGCATTTTTACGCAATCTAAATTGCATAAAAACGTATTGACGAAACATACGTATAGATACATAAATATACAGAATACACATGTATGTAATATATTCCAAGGAGGTTCTGAAACTGTTTTCTGTAACATGTTTAAGTTAAATGTAGTATACTAAGCGACATAGAAATCCAACACCCAATATAAATTTTTATATTTTGAAAATATTTTGTATAATTAAACAAACGATCAAAATGTCAATTTTATTGAAACAACTTACAAAGGTAAATCAATTAATACCGTGTTAATGCACCTCGGTGGGCAACACACTCTTGTATACTGGACTCACTTCTGATTAGATGGTCAATATCCTCCTGGCGAATATTCAGGAATATTAAAAATCTTGAAAGCTTTTAGATAAATACTTATATTATATATATATATATATATATATATATATATATATATATATATATATATATATAAAAGAAATTTAATCTTTGCAGATAAGTTAAATAGTAAACTCTTAAATATTGGGGAAATCTGCAAGAAAAACTCTACTTTCGCCTAACGTGTTCGCCAAAGAGAATTAATTTGGCTTCTTCAGGGCTGAAAGAGAATAAATTATAATTAGCTACCATATATTATCTAATAAAAAACATTTACCTTACCGTAAATTTTAGAAATGTCGAGTTATGATGTTAAAAAAATATAGCTAGTAACAACATAGTGGTGTTTTTTTTTGTTACTATGTGCAAAAAAGTTATTTTTGTTAACGTTGGAAATGTATGGTAGCTTTGAACTTAAAACGCAAAGGTTTACCCAAGGTTAATCGAAAAACCCAATGTAACTACATTTAAAGGAAGTAATTCTTTGAATTGTCGGCAATAACTAAATTTTTGATTGTTATAAAGTTTGAATGTGAGGTTCTGTTTTCATAGAAAGCAAGCGCTGACAATTACAAGTAGTTTTTTATGTCGTTAAGGTTCATTGGTAAAACCGATGAAGTTAGATCCCAGTCTGGGGAGATATTAGTTTAGAATTTTCTTAATTGAAATTCTTTTTTAATTAGTATATTGTTAATGTATTATTATATAATAATATAATATATAATAATTATATTATATATAATATATATATAAGGATCACTCAGACGAGTGGTGGGTTCTTATATCGGTCTCTAGGTGGAGAAATAAAAGACAAAGTTGATATGCTACTTTATCTATTTTGAAGACGTTTCGCTTTCGAGTTTTGAAAGCATCATCAGTTCATCTAAAAAATTTTACAATATGAGAACCACACAATAATGGAAACGATGTTAATTGTTACCTTAAAAAGATGTGTAGCAGTCAATGTTATTAACAAACATGTGAATGATATACATACGCATTGAAATGTTGAATTTTTGTAGTTATCACGATTAAAAGAAAATACCAGACTAGTATTTTTATTCAAATTAAAATAACAAATAATATTGATGCAAATTAATATAATTTATTTGAGTTGGTTTCTCCTATGAATCATTAAAATGTTTTTAATAATTAAATAATTTGAAATTTGACCAAACTCACTTCAGATCGTTATAATTATATAGTACTATTATGTAGACAGACAGTTGGTATTTTTTTGGAATGTGTTATTGAATTTTCATAACGACACTAATACGATGTTTATTGGCTTGACGAACTTTGCTTTTATTATACGTATTTTTTTTGCGTGTTTAATTTGAATGGAATTTTAATAAATAATCGGTTAGACAAGGCGAAAAGCTCGGGTTCGTTCGGAAAAATATTCCCATTAGATTTTTTATGGATAATCACTTTCATCAGATACCCCAAAATAAGGTTCGAGAGGTCGCCCAGGGTTCAAATTTTTTTAAACAATTTTTTTTTAACAATTCAATAATCATTTTTTTTTTGATCCGCACAATTTTTTTTTTGAATTTTTTGGATCATTCTGAAGAGAATCTTGTATCTTGTATGAAAATAAGTATCTTGTAGTTTTTCTGCAAACTTGGTCATTTTGGAGTTATAAATAATTTAAATCTGAGAAAAAAGCAAAATTACGCTTTTCAATGTTCAAAAACACAAATAAAAAAACACTATTTTTGAATTCACCAAGAACCTAAATTGAAGTTCAAACCTTGTTGTATCATTTCCCCATAAGTATTTTGGGCCTATCAAGCGCTTATGACAGGATGGGCGCTCGTACTGCGACGTGTATAAGAGAGAGAAACAAGATCAAAGGCACACCTTTTTGCTGGTTTAAATTCTTATACGCGCTTCATTATTAATTGAATCGCTATATGCAAAAACGACACATGTCCAAAAACCTGAATTTTTCAGGAGATGCAACAAACATATTATTGTAAACGAAAATCTATTTTTGGTAAATTTGATGGTTAAAAATGACAAGTAAAGATATTTTTAACACTATTTAAGATATTTTATAAAGGGATTACAATAGATAGTTTAAATATACTAGGAAATATTCCTTGTTGAAAAGAGGCATTACAAATATCCTCAGTGGATCTGCGAGAGCATGAATGCATTGTTTTAGTAACTTAGGGGAAATCTGATCAAAACTACAACTGTATTTGGATTTAAAACTTCCGACTATACTAGTTATTTCCTGTGGGTTAGTTGGATATAAAAACATAGAAGAACTATTACGGTTTTTTGATGCTGATGTAAACCCATCTATTTTAATAGGATCCAAAGCGGCAAGTAACTTTGGAGCCATTTCAACAAAATGGTGGTTAAATTTGTC